TGCGCTGGAAATTTTGAGAAATTGCCAAATAGGGCGGAGATGGTTTAACTTGGCAGAACATCCAATTTGCGTTGGCATTGTTCATTTACACGGTTCAAGAAATCTCGATTCATAGAGGACTTGAATAAATTTACTTTATGCTAATCCCCCCCGTGCATTTCAATACTGCCACTATTACTCGATACTAAATTATTGATTCTAAACTGCCGAAGATTATCAATATTCACACTTAGTTCAATACGTAATTTGATATTCATTACGCTGTCAGCCTGCCAAATGCTCGAATAAAATAGTTGTACTATACGGAATTATGGAATTTCATTAGCGATGTGATTTGCAAGTGAATTACAGGATTCATGCATTTGATATTGTTACTGTGTATGTAGATTTGCTGAAAAATGATAGTTTCGTCATACGTTTCAGTTTTCAATTAAAGTTTGATTGGAATCAATTGGATAATCACGGATGAAGTTCGAATAGTATGTAAATAGGAATTTCAGTTTAACCGTTTTTAATATGCTTTTGCTTTTTTACCACTTTAAAGTTCGAAATCAGCGTTGAGCACTTAATCCGATAATTTATCGATCGACGTTTTCAGTTTGGTGAAATGAAATGAAAAATGAGATTAATTGTAGACATTTTTTTTGCAAAATGGGGTGATAATTTAGTCCTTAGTTCACCAATTTCGTGCGTGTTTTTCCTCTTACATTAATGTAGTACTAATTATTGATGAATAAAATACAATCTTACTCCTTTACCTCCTTAATCGTGCAAAAAAAAACTATCGGACAAATTTCCTGTAAAATAGAACTTATCTTGTAACTTTTTTGTACTCACTGAGTGTGCTTTTTAATTCATTATATCAAAGCTTGCGGCATCTTTTAAGTTACTTCATATTAATATTAAAGCCGAAAACCTACAAAATTAGGATTGGAGACATTGCAGGTTATCAAGACCAAATTGATTGGTTGAGAAAACTTGAGCTTTGCCCTTTTGCAATGCACGACCCAAACTCAAACAACGGTAAAACCAATATTTGTGTCAAAGCTCAAAATATGGAAACAACACGTTAATTATTGAAAGCAGACATGAAATTTCATGCAACCTGTGCACACAATTATATTATAAACTTGCTGTTTGTTTGTTTGCCGGGGGCACAGTTTGAATGGCCTAATTGCGCGGACGGAATAGCACTACGTCAACGAAAGCAGTCGTATGACCAAAAAAATGGCAAGAATATCTGTGGCGGATAATCCTTGAATAATTATTTGGAATATATTAGCCAAATTTATGCTTATTCAATGACTAATTTCCATATTACCTAATCCGCAAATTTTAATTTTTACACTAAACAACCTCAAAAATTGCATTCCATCAGCGTCATTCCATTTATTTACTGCGAGAATTTTCTCATCACAAAATGTTTTTCTTTATTCCTTCAAAATGTCCTCATATTTTCGTCTTATTTCACCAATTTCCTTTCATTAACAAGGGATTGTCTAAATTACTATGGACTGCTCCCATTCATTTTTGTTATTGCAATAACTGTTGCTTTCTATAGTGATGAATTCGAACGAAACAAACGGGCGCATTATTGACGTAATTAAGTATCACATTGATCTACCCCTTGGAATCTTCTGAATATAATTTGATGCACGAGAATTTAAAAAGAATCGGGTTCGTTAAGACGTGGTCATCATAAACAATTTTTTTTACGAAGGGATCAAATACACATGAGCCATTCGATATGAAATCGACGAAGGCGGTATGATTTTAAGTTTGAATAAAATAAATTAAGAGTAACACCTGCTTTATAATAATCCAGCCCAACAACCCAAATAACACAAGAACGTACATGGCAAATAATACACAGTACGTAGGTACAGCAATGGACTTGGACGTACATTTCACGTACACTTACGGTTCAGGGATGTACATTTCACGTACATGGTACGTTACTTTTGCACTACTTTGTGCATGCTAGGTACTTTGCCGTACGTACATTAGACTGACTGTTAGGTATGTCTAATGTACTTACCTTTGTTCACGTACATAATAAGTACGGTAAAGTACGTACTAGCACGTACAGAGCAGTGCGAAAATAACGTACCACGTGCGTAAAATGTACGTCCATGTTAGTTATAGAGTTATAATCTATGATCGTACACAAATGTACATACATAAGACGTACAAATTTGTCTCTTGGACGTACCTACGTACCTTGGACAATGTGTGCTATATGGGACCATTGCAGCAGTGTTCACCTGCTACAATAAATGTAACTAGATCCAGACACAACCACAAAATTTTCTAGCAGCAAGAATTTCTAGAATCTACGGTAGGTTTGAGATTAATTGCTCAAAAGTGTGTGTTTGGAGAGGGCGAGGGAGGGATTCCATGAATCGAAAGGTATGATTTCGAATTTCTGATGCTTTTTCAAACAGTTCTCTATTTGTAGAAAAGTCTCGAGGAAAATTATCTTCAAATCTCTTTGGCTTTGATATCAACTTGTGATCCTAAATGCTCTCTTTTTAAATTACAGAAATCCGAACGATCACAGCAAACAAGAATCGGGACTGGCCGCGTCAAGGGAGAAGAATCGGTTTCGATCAATCGTCTGGGATGAGTACGACGCGGTGCATCAGAAATACTTGGAAATTGGTAAGTATCCAGTAAATTTCCCACAAGCCTTTAGGTTGTCATGAGCCGCTTTTGGGATTATTTTTAATTTTTTAAGGATAGTTTTAGAGTAATTTCCAGTAAATATTTATGTTGCGATAACAAATTTTACCCAAAATCATCATGCAACCTTCATTTTCATGCCTGCCTTATATCAGGAAATGTTAGTTTCCATGACCAGCCGCCTATCACTTTACCGGCCGCACCTGCCACATTGGTAATGTCTGTAATCCTACTCCTATCATCACTGACAGATTGACATTAAGCAAAAGTTCTATATGAAAATTGAAATAATATATTAAAAAAGACGGCGTTGTGTAAAATTTAATACAAAACTCGTCAGTAAAATGTCTACTTGACTCGGAAACTAAAGTACTCGGCCCCAAACAATGATTCATCTTTAAGATAATAATAGATAGTACAGAATAATGTCCATGGCCCAAATCCCATCCAGGATTGTTGTTTGGGCACATTAAATTAGTTTTGGAAGGAGGGCCTGTGGTACCTATCAGTTACAGCAATTTTAGTGTCAAAGTCTAAGTTGTTAAATTGACATTTTAATTAAGCCGCTCTTTAAGCGTGAAGGTAGATAAAGTGAAACTGATGATTATGCATTTTTAATTTTATTAAAATCTGTGATCCTTATTTCAAATGGGACGCGAAGCACCATATAAAATGACGTTCAGAACATATGGTAATGCTGTTTCTATGGAAACGTCCGCGATGGTAGATCCTAAGCTTGCTATGTTTGTCGCCTAAATTAAATTTAGAATTGTGAGAAGCGTTTTACAATGATTTATTTGATAGCACGTATGTTAAAATGTCATTCTAATAGGTTTAATTGAGTAGGCTAAGCCGCCCTTTAACCGTAAGGGTAGATAAAGTGAAACAGATGATTGCGCATTCTAAAGACATCTACCTATTCTTATTATTAATAATAATAATGTATATTTAGATATGGCACACGTCAAATTAGCATATGTAGATATCGATAATTTGGACTACAGCAAAAAATTAAACTTAATCTAAACAGTATTAACAACACGACTTAGAAATTCATTATAATCATAAAACGCATTTTGGGTCGTGTAATGTATGGTTACTTTTCTAATTATCTTCTGTGGTAGTACATTACAGAGCTCAATTTAGGATCAACCACTAAGCTGAGATATGGGACTGCCGAAGGGTTATCAAACTCATCGCTTTTTTTGGAAAAACAACATGTTTGTAGTTTTGTTCGTATTTAAAAGTAATTCATTCGCAGCAAACCATTAAAATGCTTTCATCTGAACTAACTTTCAATTTTATGGTGGCGATGGCATCAATAACAACTGAACCTTCCAAGAGTTTATCATGGGGGAGGAGAGAGGGCAGGGGTTGAGGTTGTTCACACGCTATTGTTTTCCCAACCATCTTTCAAAGCGATTTCACATGTTTTTTGAGATTGTTTCTTCCTGGGCACTTCACAATTTTTACAATCTTCTTAAAGAATATTTTGAAATTATCTAGATCCTTGGGACCTCTTAGAACCTTTGTATTTGGGACCCTCCGTATATTTAGTATTAGAATTTTTAGGCTTTTGAGATCATGCAATTTTTGTAAAATTTGGAATCTCCGGGAGATTTGCAAACCTTATAAACTTGGTGTCTTTGCAACCTTTGGCGTCCTTAGAATTTTTGGAATCCTTTCAGGGTTTCCCGTATCGTTTTTGAAATTTTTAGATTCTATTCGGAATTTTTTGATTATTATATTGATAAAATATTTGAGAGAGCCTTCAGAACCGTTAAAACCTTGAGGAGCCTTATTGTTCTTAATAACGGGCTTTTAATAATTGTTGTGATGATGGTTGAATGACAACATAACAAAATTGTGATGACACCGCCAAATATATCAGTGTTTAGACATTTACAAAACTAACAGGAATACTATTTATAACGTATTTCTACAAAATTCTCTGTAAATTCGGAATTATCTGATCTCCGTTTTGCAGTTGACCTCAAAATGTTAGTTACACGATGGTACCTTTATGGCGTTCTTCTAGAATGCCATTTTATCTTGCTTTCCAGTTATTGTGGTTTACGCATAGATTTCGACTAGTACTGTTGTGAAATGTATGGATAATAGCATTGATCTTGAGGACTGCAGATCAGATACGCAACCAAATTTTCTGTTTAGTACAGTTTTTTCCGGATTCTGACTTCAAATAAGCATTTATTTTCAGCTCAGCACGTAGGGTGCTAACCGCGGGGCTATTAGTAATACCAAATTAAGGGTTGAGACAAGGGTAGCTCGATTTGGTTGTTACAAAACACAAAAATCAATCAACATTGTATAAAAATTTAATGGCGCGAATAATACGTTTAGATATAAAAAATAGGAACACTATCTGCCTTAAAACTAAGGATCGTTTGGACAGCAAACACCAGCGAATCTAAAACACAGTGTTAGACATAAAAGACACTCAAAGCGAAGCTTACTCATTCTTCAAAACGCAAAAGTGGTCTAAAAAGTCCTGGGCTGATGTCAGCAGCAGAGGAGCTTGAGGACATGCGTGCAAAAGCGTGCAGTGTCCTTCCAAATTTGTGAGTGACTTCGAACACTTCACCTCATCGGTAATTGTCTCATTTGCGCCCACTTTGTAAGTACCTAAAGCGTATGGTTAGTGACTGTTTGTACGAAAAGAAATGTACCATTTGCCGTCTTAATTAGATCGTCATGTAAAATTTCGTTCAGCCACGGGAAGGTTGTCAAGGGGCTTTCGTCTCCGCTTTCAGGGATTGTGGTAGTCCGTACCGGTTCACTTTCCTCCCAAACTTCATCGTCGTAGCTACCAAACCTGTTAGAATACGGTACAGCGGACAACGCTAGCATCGGTCGACCCGCCTTGGAGAGGCTGGCGTAGTTTCCACTAACTAAAAACCCGTCTGTTACACGACAATCAATGTAAAGGTCACTTACTTCTTAAACCTATACTTCCGTCTTCGTCGAAGTCTGCATAAGGTTTTGCTTCTTGAGCGTTTACAGTGTCGGTATGGTTCGGCTTTACGACCACCAGAGAGCTGACAGAGGTGACAAAGGAGTATTTCAAAGCCAAATCGAGAGCTTTCTTTTTAATTTCTTCTGGCACTTCTGATATTTCCTTCTGCTCCAGTAACTGCTTGATCTTCAAGTAAGCCCATAGTCTTTCTACGTTTGAGACTGATCTCGTTACAGTCGGTTTGAGGGATATCTCGCCGTTAATTCCAAAACCGTCAACAATAGGAGTTAGGAGATCGGTTCCTACAACACCACCATCAGTTTGCTTATCAAGTAAGCATGTTAACTTACCACACCAACCGGCAACAACAATTTCCCTTCCTCCGAAATGTATAGGGAAATCCGTGGTGGTCAGGCTCGTGACAGACTCCTCGTACTTGAAAGTGACCCCTGATAGTAAAGGAGACGAAATCTCTCGGTAAAAGTGTTGGAGTTGGAGTGAAGCGTCCGAGGCCTCGTAGATTTGTCTGGAGAAGCCTTTGTTGCGAAGCGCGAAGTTTTGGAGGAAATCCTTGTCGGCACCATCGCCAAATGCAAGCGCGAAAATTGGTGCCCTGCGTGGCCCCGAATTGAGCTCGCTAATCTACAAGGTGGGGGTTAGTCGGGTAGTTTACAGTCGAAGGTGTTACTTTTGAAATAATTTCGCTGGTGCTCTTATCTGTTGGTTCTCCGTCAGTCAAAAATATCACCATTGGCTGTCGCTTGAGGCTATCATTCTGTTTTCGACCCATTTCGACTAGGTGCAAGGCCACCTCCAGCGCGCCAAACATTCCAGTTGACCCGTCGGAAACTAACTTTGCAACCGCTGCCTTGGCTTTCTTAATGTTGTCCGCGTTAGCCGGATAAGCGGGTGGAAAATCTACCTCCTAAAAAAATAATGCAGTAAAACCGTTGTGAGTTTAATGAGGCTTACCTCTAATTTTACTTCAGGCGTAGCATCGTGGAGGTAGTAGTCGTTAGTGCGAGGGTACCAAACGCTCGAGTTATCGTCGTTTAGGTCCCAGACCTTCGTGTTGCTGTTAAACTCGACCAAGTTGAGCGAATCGTGTTCGTTTAGCTGGCCCAAAATCTTGTCCATCGCCTCCCTCAATTGCTCGATTTTCTGTCCCCACATGCTACCGCTAGTGTCCAAGACAAAGACTACCTGTTTGGGTAGGGGCTTTAGATCGGATGGGGCGAAGAAGTGCACGAAGTAGCCGTCTTGAATTAGCACTTCGCCACCTTTAGGATCCCGTTCAACATCGTACTGGACAACGAACTGGCCTGCTAATCCTTTTTCAACATCGCTTCCGAAAACGTGCGCCAATTCCTTTTGTCTTTCAATGTTGGGGGCGAAACGCACAATGGCTGAGGTATCGTTGACGATTTCTATATCGGCTCTTGGGTCAAGTTCGGACTTTTCTGCGCCGATTTCATTTCCGGAGCGTAGTGGAGGCGCCTTGAGGTCAAGTATTTTTCTGCTTTCGGAGATGACAACCTGTAAACCGTAGGGTTAGCGTTTTTGTGTGGAATTTTGATGCACTTACTTCAACGCTTAGGTCTTTGACCGGCTGTCCTGGATGGATATTTATGATTTGCTCGTAGCGACTGTCTTGTCGTTCCAAAAGCTGTTCGTAGGTTAGGTAAAATGAAGCTTTTGCTTCAGCTTCGACGTTCAATGACACGCTAAATGTATTGGAATCACGTGCGCTAACTGCAACGTGGGCCGCTCCAATGCCGCTCATTACGGCCTGTAAGTACTTGTTGTATTTACAAAATTTCATTTGCGATATTCACCTCGTCGTAAATTCGTTTGGCTTCCTCCTTCTCTTTCACGTAGGCTGTATAGTTCTTACCGGCGATTTCCATGACAAACCCTGAGATAAACGCCTGTTCTGGCAGAACCACCGAGAAAACGGCCTCCTGCGCCTTGCTTCCATAATTTCTGACTCGACTGGTGATGGTGGTGTTAGCAAAACGGTTCCTAATATCTGACCTTATCCGCATTTGGTATATCTGGGGGACTGCTGGTATCGCATGAGCTTTGCCCTAGAAATTTTGTTGACATTCACTCACTTTAAGGACAATGTGTCAGTACCTCCTTATCTCCTCGTGATCCAGAAGAAGGCGCCGTTGAACTCACAACCAAAGTCTGATCATCATTCAATGGAGCACAAATAATAGGCACAACCAAAAGGAGGCCCCATAATAGAAACGCACCGAAACTCATTGTGGCGTTCAAGGCAGCACAAACACTTTCTTGAATGGCCGACACGACAATGATGTTAATGTTGTTTAATTGATAGTACTTAAATATTCGACCCGTTCGGAAAATTCACATTATCTGTGGTAATTCCCAGACAATATCGCTATAAGCGCACGCAAATATATCGGTACTGGCTCTTCGTCGTCATACAATTTTTACTCTCGACTGGTTTTTTAATGAAATTACTGCCGTAGAAGGTCGACGATGTTTAGATTATATACTCGAATTAATTAAAACTATCTTTACACTCCTTGACCCCACGGATTAGTAATGGAAGTTTCGTAACAAACTGGGTTGGCGTCGTTGAAAGTGAGGTTGAACCAAAATCTTAATTTCGCATATCACCGTGGCAGAATTCGTTCTGAATTATGTTTTAATTGGAATTTCCGGTACCTTGTCGTTACTGCGCTAATGAAATGTATGACTAATTCGGCTAATGTCAATTAAATTGAACTAGAAATATGCGCGTAATATATTTACGAAAACAATTATTAGTAATTGTATGTTTATTCTGAGGCTATTATGATAATTTGAGGCTCCTGACTTGAACTGTTACGTAGTTGAACGGTCCAGTGTGACGCAAGTTTAACGTAGAAATACCCAGGATTGTGTATTTACCTTTATTTCTTCAGTGCCAAGATGAAGACGTCTGTGTTCAAGGAATCTGTGAAGTTTTCGGAACCGTAGTTCATATCCTGTAAGGGGAAATTAATAGACATTTACGCATGGTGAGGATTTCATTAATTTCTACTATTGTTTGTCCTATTTTGCTTTCAGCTGCCCGTCATTGATCTGAATTGTTTACCTCTGGATGGTAATAGTTTTAGTACCACAAAAAAATCTGTACCGTTGGCTTCTGGAAATCTTGATAGATTGCTGACCACAAAATCAAAATATCTCCATCCAGATTGCTTTCTAAAAACTGACCAAAAGTGGCCTTACAACTCAACACTTTCATCAAACTGCAGATTGGCAAAGTGTCCGCAAGGGACGCATTGGATGAGGACGAAATAAGAATCATGACACCTTTGACCGCTTTGTCTAACGAGGTAGACCTTCAGAAGACATTTTTTCCTGTAAAGCTGACCAAAGCTATTGCTGGAAATGACTTGACGGAATAGGGAATTGAAAAGATTATAAATATAGAATGATCTGTATGGAATAGGTGGAAACGCGACGGTTTTTGAACTTAATTTCCCTTTATTGAAAATAGCACGGGTTGTTTTTTTCAGTTCTTTTTCAGTTTACAGATCAGGTACCACTGAGAATCCTAAACTAAGTATGGAACACGACCTGCTTCTCCTTAGACTCTGGTTTACCAATAACTACATGGTACTGAGTCCAAAAACCAAATATGTATATTGTGATTTTTCAGAAGACAATTGAGTATTTGATCCTTGAGTACAACGAAGGTACCTATTAATGAATACTTAGAGTTTCATACCTGATCTGATGTACTTAGCAAGCTCACCTATAATTATAAAACTACACATCAGAAACACAATTATTAATTAAACAATATTAATTTATTTAGTTCTTGCCTAATACTTTTCCCTTGAATTACAGAAGTGAATCTTTTAGACAAATTAAAAAATCTAATGCGAACATATATTAGGCACCTACAATTGCTTTAATTAATGATGCGGTGTGATTATTAGTTATAGTGGAATAGTCTATGAAATGTTCCTCCAAATGTGGAAAAAGAACTTTACCTTGCCGATAAAACTTCTGCGAAATTGCAATGATAAAAGTTTCAAAAAAATTTTCATTTTCTACCTTCAGGTGCGTCCATAAATCTTCTAATACCACCTTCTACACCAGAGCAAATTGTTGTAACACCTTTAGTGGGCATATACAGTCCCCCTGTAAATAAGATTATATAAACAAATTAAAAATGGATAGTCGTCGTCATATTCTTGTCCTATACATCCTTCTATACAATCGGGACATTTAAATCGCATCTTCAGCATTTTGATCACATAACCACTTATATGAGCGACAATGTTTGCTGTTAAATTATTAAAATCAATAGCAATTGGTAGAATGTCATAATCATGATCCCTATCTTCTTCATTTAGAGCATCCAAACCGTATCTTCGCAGTAAAGGTATATCTGGCATATTAGACCCACTCATTAACAGTGGATTGACTTGGAGTAAAAGTAAAAAGTAAAAAACAAATTACTCCAGTACATGAGACTAAGTTTTTTATTAAAGGATTTATGTTCTCCTGATTTCCTTAAAACAGTATACCCTACTACACGTTTGCCAACTAAAAATTAGAGCAAAGGCTATCAGTGTGGGGAAGAACTTACTGTACGACAATTAAACCCCTAATTACGTTACAAAAGGATAATATGAGCAGAAAGAGCATACGATTCCCTGTTTAAAAACCTTAAAATTTTGCCGGTTGGATGTTTATGTATATGTTACCGGTAAACTGCGAAATCCGGAATTTTGCAAAATCCCTAGGCATTTTGCGAAATGACCAATGCCGCAGGCAAAGTGAGAAATGGAGCTCGAGTTCGTACTTTGCCTGCTCTTCTTTAGGGATTTCGCAAAATGCCCAAACATTCAGGCAAAGTGAGAATGCTCTGCCATTTTCCACAGATTGCGGGTACAGCGGTGTCAAATGTAAACCTGTCGCGTTGGTATACCTTCCCCCATCTGATACCTATATTCTCAACGTATGGCTTTAATTTTGAAACCAAATATTGTTTACAAATATTATACTAACATATTTTTCTTGGCCATTTTAAACCAGCAAACCTACTAAGTGGAAAATTATATTCTCTTTAGTATTGATTCTATTTCTTTTACCACGCACCGATTAACCATAACAGAAGGAGTACAGATTGTAATTGCATTCAAACACCCAATACGTTAGTGTAATAATTACACTATGTACCTACACGTACACGTATGTACTTATATAAAATCGCAATCGTCGTACAATCAAATGGCAACGTTGTACGCACCATCTGTGGGAAATGACGAAGCCTGTGCACTTTGCCTGCATGTATGGGCATTTCGCGAAATCTCTAAAGAGAGGCAGGAAAAGTGCGAACTCGGGCCCCATTTCTCACTTTGCCTGCTGCATTGGTCATTTCGCGAAATGCCTAGGGATTTTGCAAAATGCCGGATTTCGCAGTTTGCCGGTAACATATATGCAAAGTGTTTTATAACACAAGTACCAAAGAATGTGCGGATATCCGGAAAAAAATTGGCACGACTAGATACAAATCAAATGTAAACGTCCCTCGGCCAAGCATTAATTACTTCAGAAATGTTTACACTTAGCACTTTAAAGTTTTACATCTGTTTACCTCTCTAAGATTGGTTGGACACTGTCCTCTGCCCTTTCCTATCATGCGCTAATCTTTTCATTTCTACAAAACTACCTTTGCCTGCGTCCTATCGCCTACCCCTCCCCTGCCCACTGCCCTGCCTTCTATAGTTAGCTGTACTAACCCTCCGTGTCTGAGCACGTGCCTTCATTCTATCTCGTCTTTTCTGTACACATTTCCCTATTTTCCTGTACTAGCTCCAAGACTGCCTCGTTTGTTACCCTGTCCACCCAACCCAGCTAATTCTCATTATCCTTCTATAGCACCACATTTCGAATGTTTGTACCCTACCTATCGGACACGTTTTTACCAGCCTTTTTCTAATTCCTATATTTATCCCGGATCTCAGTAGGTCTCCCTTTTGTTCAAATGCTTTTTTAGCTTGCGCTATCCTGGATTTTATATCTTCCTTGCTACGATTATCTTGTGTAACCTTACTACCTAAATAGCTAACTTCCTTTACATGATTTAATGTGTCTTTTCCCATTCTGATCTTTATCTTTTTCCTATCCTCTCTTTACGGGCATTTCACTTGTTGATTTTCACACCCACCGTAATATTACTTAAATATTTAGTCTAAAACGGTTTTTCTGTCGATAACATTTTTTAAGGGAAAACTTATGGGGAATGTTCGAGTTCCAAAACTGTTTCGAAGAAAATTTTCCGGGGACGAACACTCCGGGAGTGAATCTTTCGGAGACCAATTTGGTGGTGCCAGATTTTCAGGGCGAAGTTACTGCATATGCATGCACCATTCATTTTATTGTATGAATTTTAAATGCAGAAAAGTTAACTAAATTGAGTGACTTGGACCGATTTCTTTCCATTTACCCTAGTTGATAGGGAGTGCAAAAAAGTTACCCCCATCAGTCTCATTAATTGAAAAAATAATATTAAGGTGGTCATATTACTAGACTATTAAATAATTTGTGGTTTTTTTGTAATTTTTTAATGTTGATTCGAACTGAGGTTTTTTTTCAACTATAAATCTTTTTATTACAGGACTGTAGTCTGTTTTGATTGCATCTGAAATTCTTCAGAGTTAAAGAAAAGTCCTACATATTTTCCTATGGATACTACCAACCAGAAATTTTCAAGATTTCAAAATGATATAACCGCCTGTGAAATCCGAAGTGAAGATTAACGGTATAATTAAAAACAAGGTTAAAAAATACGATTAATTTATTGTAGTAACGTTACAAGCAGCAAAGGTCAAGTTCTTATATAGATGGTGAAAGTTTTTCTTTCTTACGCTTTCCAAAAAGGCTCTGGGTGCAGAATTTCTCACTTGCCATATACAGCTCGCTAATCGAAAGGATATACTAAATCGTGATATTAATTGGAAAAGTGCATTGTAATTGGGCTATAAATCAACGTTACTTTTAGAGCGTGAAAGTAGTAAAAATTTTATTAGAATAATCAAATTTCCCATTCGTTTCTCAGATAAAGAAATGACGTGGGCCCCTACTGTCGTTTTCTAATATCCGGCCCCCACTTTTAAAAATCCTCGAATCTTTTGATACATTCAGGTTATTCAAATGTTGTACTTGTTTTTTTCCCACTTTGTAATATTCTTTAGCTGTATAAGTGTATACAGAGTCTTTCATGAGGAATGTTTCATACGTTAATATGTTACAGATTTGCTTATTTTAAGCAGAAAAGTTACTAAAACGCATGTGCTCAGTTCTCAAAGATACACCGACACGTTCACTTCAAAGTTTCTTTCTCTTTTGGTTCCAGTAAAAAACCAAAATACCCTTAATCACCACTGGGTTCATTTTTATGCCCCAAACCCTATAAAAACGAGTTTACTCTCCTTTTTTGATTACGTACACCTACTGTTTACTCTGGTATCCAAAAACCCGACCTAATCTCGTGATTGATTTTTAAAATGAAACTAATAAAGTTTGCAACGAAGGAATTCCAAAACTTTCCCCTTTCTCGTTAACTACCAAACACAGAATGCCACCTTTACTTACTGATTCATTTTCTTCATGTCTGCACTAAATTAAATCATAAGTATGACCAAACTAAAATGATCTGATGCTCATTCAGTAGTTTTAAGTAGATAAGGCAAACTTTACTTATCGCAACATCTCGTCTCCAGACATCCGGATACCCATTATGAAAACAATGCTTTATTGAACTTAAAAGACGCAGAAAGGACAATCTTAAATTCCACCATTGGAATTCCATTTATTGGAGCCTCTAAATTTCGCCACCCTGGAAGTTTTCTATTATATATCTAACCTACTCTAATCCTCTCTCTATAGCTCTAAAAAGTAAATCCAAAGTTTAGAGCTAACGTTACGTGTCTCGCTTACGTAACTTATTGCAATTGTGGATCAATAGAATTACAACACCTGTGACGGAAGTTTTAACTAAACTCTAATACAATCAGCTTTAGAACAATCTAAGACACGAATAACCAGTCTAATGTATGCTTCTCCGTGATCTTCCACTTTATCTCATCTGCTACTAAGCGGGTACTCATTCATTCATGTACCGACCGCGATTTTTTCCAAAGATAACCCACTTCTGTGTATATAAATTTAGTACCATTATTCAAATAAATGTAACACTTTAAACGTTCCGCAAATAGTCGCTTTAAAAACCAAATCTATCACGAACAGTTTGTAGGGGATGGTAGTGGAGCTGAACGTTTGTTCATCAATATTCAAACTTTGTCGTTGCAAGATCATTTATTACATCTCTCGGCAGAGCTCCTTTCGCTTAACTGCAGCCAATTTAAACGGGCCGTTGGCTATTATGCTACCGTCAACCCGCGTCGTCTCCACATTCATACCAGAATTACACATTCTTTATACGGTATTGGTTTGGGATAAAATACAACCCTTTTTCTAGTTATTTTTATCTAATGCAGAATTTGTTTCCCTCACATAGATTAATGTCCTTGCAAGATAATCGTGAAAGTATTACCATTCAAATTGCTGTGGTGGACTTTTTCTTTGACGTCGTGCATCAGAAAGTTCTTTTAGAAACCAGGACCTTCTCTCCTCGAACATACTTCTTGTTACATCTGCAAAATGTGATTTGACAATGTCACCTGTAGTCGAATAGAAGATTTACCTCTAAGCGTGTCTAACGTTTCCCCTTCCCCGCCGTAGTCTTTTGGAAGTACTGAAGGTGGAATGTGAGCACGAAGTTCACTTATGCTCGAAGCTTTGTAAAAATGTATCTAAGAGGGTTTGTTTTCACGTTCCTCTATACAGCACTTACCCTCGACACTATTTTCACCGGTAAAATGGGCTTAAAAATATTGAACATGGTCCCTACCCCTGGAAAACAGTTGACCACGTGAATGGCTTTAATTCGCGTTGGGTACGCCTTGAAGACAACGTGTTTGAGTTCCCGAATGAACCTGGGGGATAACTGCAGAGCGTAGCCCAAAGGTAAATTTTCACAGTCTATAATTACAGTGTGGCCATTAATCATGCAAGTGGGGCTTTCGTTCATGAAAACGTCAAAGAGCATAAAGCCCAACTTTGATGCGTTGATAAGAGATACCTTCTTTATGTCGCAGTACTTCCACCTCACTATCACAATTTCGAAGTTTTCAATGGTCGACGATATCATTATTCTGCAACGGGCAGTTGGAATTTGACAGTTTCTCACCTGCACTTACCCCCTTGAAATAGCTTCCCTTAAACTCTCACCGCAGGGATCCCTATCGTGAAAAAACTCGCTTTTGCTTGACCTCAGCTGAAGGTAGTGCGTTAATTTATCCCGGGTTTTTAGTTGGTCGAACTTGCATCCTCGCAGAAAGTTCAGTAGGTGTAAATCAGCTAGAAGCTATTACAAGTATTAGTGTTACATGTAAGTCCTTACTGAGCACTTCATCTGGAAATGATTGTGTGGCAACCCACTCTTTTATCAGCATCAAGCTGCTCTCATTATCACCTGACTCTTCCATTGGAGGTCTATCCGTGCACCAGTGAAATACTTTCCTGCATCATCAGCTCAAAGTTGCTGAGACACTATTCCAAAGGTTTATATACAAACGATAACACGCTAGTGACCTTTATTCGAACAAAAACAAAATGTGTCACCGAATCAATATCGTATGATAACAACTACTTGGCTTGGTCTAATCAAATATGTACGCAACCACACTGGATGAAGTGTTACATGACGAAATCATTTGGTGATCACTGAATCTACACGTAAACGTCTCTACCTTTGAGAGCCTGGTCAATAATGATCCTGTTGTCTTCATTAACAAACCACGCTCGTCTGTCCTTCAGTATTTTCCTTGTTCTTTCTGTAACATTTCATCTGATAACCTAAATGGCATGTAAACACTCACCCTTTAGAGTGTCAATCGATTCCCCTCTTCCTCCGTACTCTTGGGGTAGCACGTGCGAAGGGATGTGCTTTAAAATATCACCCGTGCCGCCGTTTGTATAGATTTTGATCTAAAATCATATCTGCACCTTTATTGTCGTTGATTTAGAGAACTCACCCGTGATTTAATATTTTCTGGTAGAAATGGCTTAAACATGCTAACCATGATTCCCATAACCGTGCCTGGATTAACAATGTGCACTCCTTTAATCCTTGTAGGATAGGCTTTAAACATAATATACTCTAATTCCTTAAGTAGAGAGGGGCTGAATTGCTTGATGTACCCGAAGGGTAGATTTTGGCAGTCTATAAGTACGGTGTGCCCCACCGCCATAAAGGTGGGACTTTCGTGAACAAATACGTCAAAAAGCATAAATCCCAATTTCAGCACGTTTAACAAAGGCACCTTCTTTACGTCACAGTGTTCCCATCGCAGTATAATCATTTCTGTGTCCTCGGACATCGCGAGCGAAATAATTCTGGAACCAAACAATTTGGGACGTTTCCATGACGTTCATTTACTCACCCCCTCGATAGGACATCATCGAGTTCTGCTTTCTCCGGATCTCTGCTCAGATAAATATCCCTCACATGCGCCCTTCTAGTGAAATAGTGCGATAGTTTCTCCCGGGCTTTAGCTTGGTCGAACCTGCATCCCCGTAAATAGTTCAAAAGTAACAGATCACCTGCAATTCCAATCAGTCTCGTGTACAACGCGACTTTTATTACCTGGCGTTTGGCTTAGAAAGGGTTGCTGAGTGATCCACTCCCTAATCTGTTTCAGTTCCAAATCCCTAACTTCGGCGGTTTCTCCCAGCTCCCTTTCGGCTTTCTTCTCGATTTCCTTTGTCAGACATGTCGGAAACATAACTGTAAAAAACGGGTTATCTTCACTTAGACATTGAACGCTTCAAAACGGTGCCACATTTACTTTTGCTAACTGCGATTGTTAGTAAACGTGTTAACTCGTGGTAATCTTATCGGCAGTCGATAGTCTCCGGAATTAATTAAACTACACAGTAATTATATCACTTAAAAATAACGAAATAGTACTAATGTCGTGATTTTGCATCGGTCTTAAAACATTTTCCAAAACGATACGCATGCGAAAAGGCACAGCTGTCAATTGTTGACACGTATGTTTTTAACATTTGCCGGATGTATGAGGTTGATTTAAATTTTATCAGTACGCACTTCGTACTAAATACTGTGATTCAATTTCTTTTCGTTTTACCTACTTCTACTACACCAGGCATAACTTTTGCACCTCTGAGCCTAGTGACTCCTCGTCTTCAACCATATATTATTTTATGGTTCAATTTTTTTGTGGTTATCCCTTATATAAAACCACCCCTAGCAACTCATTGAGGAAACAAACGATTGTTTAAAGAAACTACTGCCTGTTTCAACATCTGCAATAGCTGCAGTTATTCTTGCTTTTGAATATTGCAACATCCTGGTCATCACGCAGGATCTTTTATCGCACGTGCTGCTCTAGTATCTGAAGATTATAATACCATAATATCAAATAAACGATTTCAGCAGTGTTGTATATCTTCAACGTACGATAACCAGCTTTATCAGTGTAAACTTATCTCTGTTTTTTTGTCGTTATACAAAATAGCGCTTACGAAAGGTAATTATTATTTGTTGAAGAAAGATTTCAGACGATTAGCCTACTACTACTACGTCTCTCACAATGAGTGATGAAACTTCAGATGAGAAGTCCAGGAAGATCTTTATTTTTGCTTGTGCAAGTTTTTATCAGAGCCTTTTTTTTGCGTCACACCAACGATCAGTTTGCCTTTACTAGAAAAAGGTGCCAGTGGATACAGTTGGTTTACAGGGGTAGTCTACGAGTATTGGAAAAGTAATGAATTATGCGACGTTTACTCTGTTGAACTGAATTATTGTTGATATCTCTCCCCCTTTCTTACTGGCATAAATGATATTTTTGTCAAGTATGAATAATGGAACGATTATGATCTTTTTTGTACTGTTAAATTGCACAATGCACAAAAGTTAATCAAAGCTTAACGGAGCTGATAACATTTGTTTCGATAAAAAAATGACATTTGCCTTGATTAAATTAGTTAATTTAACGGAGCTGTTAAACCCAGATTAAGCTAAAATTCGTATGCAGAAAAAACAATCAGCATTAACGGCGCCGTCAAGCAGCCTCTAATCACGGCAAAATTTAACCGGTGCTCGTCGGTTGATTAAAGTGACAGTTCGTTCGTAGTTTTCGATTTGAGCTTGTGAAAAGTAATTTTTATAGAATAATTAGGCCTATTCTAATAGTTTTTAACATCATTTCATTTAAATAGAAAAGATATTCATTTTTTTAATTGACTCGTGTAAACGCGTTTTCTAAAATTCTTCTCCATGAGCAGAGTGGAGTATTCCAGTCGAGCATTCTTCCACTTTTGAAGGTGGTAGTTTATTTTAAATTGCTGAACTGACCTCTTTGGATTTGATGTTTCAGAAATGCGGAAGTATCTGAGAGCTCGTCACTCTGGATTCTAGTTTATATGTTCCTTATTAAATTGGAAAAAAATTAGTATTCGGAATTGATATTATAAGACATGCAGCATCGAGAGGTCTAAGGTGAGAAACTTTATCAGGAAGCAGTGCTTAATTTATGATATTTTAGCTACTGTAATAAATTATTCTAGCAGTTAAAAATATATGTTGGAATAAGCTCCACTTTCAATAAAATTAAGCACTCAATGGCAGTTTAACCGGAACTTTTGTTGAACGAACCTAGGACAGTCACTAAGATACTATAAGAAGGTAATATTTGCTTATGATTCAATCAATTATTTGCAGTAAATGTTCTCTTTGTACTTCGGTAAAGTTTTAGCCATGGATCTTTTTTTCCGTTGTCAACACAAACATATAAAGTGACTATTACATTTAACAGGCCACAAAAAGAAAAGCTTTCTATACGATCCAAGAAGTAGGCTTTGTAAAAAAAATCACACATTTCCATAACAGTACAACGTTGCCGGTGCCAATTTTTACCAAATATTTAATCAATGCTTAATCACCTTGGTTAGTTAATCAAGAAATTTTTTTGTTTTGTGCATACCAATTGAACTTAATCAAAGGTTTAATTTAATCATATACCAATTCTAACGACCTGATTATTTATTGTTTGTGCATTCGGCCCATATAGTCACTTGCTTTATGTTGAATTTTAAAGTTGTCCTTTTCACTGGGTGGATCGCCTGCTTTAACTTTGCACAAATCAAAATTAAAAGGCTGTGGTTTGTTGTAAATGCAACAAAATGATTGGGCTTTTACCGATCATTCTTTTGTTTGAAGCTTTCACAAACGCGTGTAACATAGGGTATGCTGCCAAATCTGTTCCATTTCTTAACCGTTTTTTTTGAACGAATGCACCAAAGGATAGAAGATTTAAATACCTTTGACATTTCGTTCATATATGGCAGCATTATCGATGCATAGACTTTGTTCTTTATTGTGCTTTATTGGAGTTGGATTTTGCATCTACCAACTTTTTTCTGCTTTTTCAACAAGCCATTGAATGGGGAATAGACGGTGCATTTTGTAAGAAAACGTCAAGTGACTATCGTGAAATTAAGAATAAGCAGCCCGCTTGCTTAGTAGTGATGTTAAATTACACGTTTTTTTTAAAGTGCGTAATATTACGTGTAAAATTACGAATTGTTTATGTTTTTTATGTATTTTATGTAATTTATGTAACTTACCATTTTTAAAAAAAAAAACCGTAATTTTACAGTAAAATTACCAGTAATGTATGTTTTTTATGTAATTTACAAATATTTTTGTAAAATTACCTGTCATTTATGTTTTTTATGTTTTTTTTCAATATTGTATAAACCTTTTTGAATTTTGTGAGTGTTTGAAAATAAAAACACTTGTTAAATTATATATTTTGGTGTATTAAATAAAATACCCAAGCAGTAGGTATTTCGCCATCACGCGTCGTTTGGAGGAAGAAGCTCCAGATCGCGAATTAGAGGCTGTATCATCTTCATTAAACCAAACTAAATTCAACGGTCAATCGTTTACGTTGGTAGTACCGTTGATGGTCTGTGGTAGTACCGATCAAAATGTTATGTAACTTACAAAAATTACGGTTTTTTAAATTAAAAACGTGTTACGTAAGTTTCATAAAAGACATAAATTACATAAAAAAACCGGCCTCTTGTAAGTTACGCGTAATATAACCGTTTTTTATGTAACTTACAAATCGTTTTTTACAATCCACATCACTAGTAGAAACCAATTTCGAAAAAATATTCAAAGGGCTGTAACTTGTGAACTAGTAACCCAATCTTGGAACTGTTTGAAATTATGGATTCTTTTTCGATCAGACTTCTCAATCAAAAGTTATAGACTAGAAACCAATTTCGAAAAAAAATTCAAAGGGCTGTAACTTTTGAACTAGTAGCCCAATCTTGGAAATGTTTGAAATTATGATTCTACAGGCCACATTCTATAAGAAAATTTCTTTTCCGGGTCGATCTGAGACAATTTTTTTTCGGGGCTCAAAAAAAGGCAGTGTATAACCTTCCTTTTTTTACCAAAAATCAAAAGTCTCATCTTCATTAAACCAAACTAAATTCAACGGTGAATCGTTTACGTTGGTAGTACCGTTGATGGTCTGTGGTAGTACTGATCAAGATGTATCAAATAGTTATGTAACTTACAAAAATTACGGTTTTTTAAATAAAAAACGTAAGTTACGTAAGTTTCATAAAAGACATAAATTACATAAAAAACCGGCCTCTTGTAAGTTACCCGTAATATAACCGTTTTTTATGTAACTTACAAATCGTTATTTTACAATCCACATCACTATTGCTTAGACATACAGAGTGGCCCAACGAGAAGTATACAGAGGGCTTTTAGGGTATTAAATTTAGAAATTACGAAAAATCCTCGAACACGTCAATTTTGTATTCGAGGGAGACAACTTTTGGAATACAAATCACGAACCCAAGTCTTCACCCCTCTACGTAGGGAGCTTAACCCCTAAAATTTTAAATGGAATCCTATGGCACATGGCACATTATTTGAAAGCCAATTTAATCGTGATTACTAATCTGCTTTGCTTTTTTAATTCTATTGATTCTTTTTGGAGATATTCGCATTTGAAATGGTTTTTTCCCCTGATTTAAGTCCTTTAGATTACTTCTTGTGGGGATATTTAAAGAATAAAGTTTATGCTACTCCGCCCGGAACATTACAAGGGTTGCGAGCACGTATAACCATAGTGTAAGAATAGAATACACTATGGTATAACTAAACAATTTCGAGCGATTACCCCTGAAATCTTGCAACATGTACGGCAGCATTTTGAAGCAAATCTTTATTATTCCATGGAAGCAGGCGGAAGGCAATTCGAGCATTTATTGAAATAAATGTTGTCTGTTTAAAGTTATTTGTTATTTTTTGCACAATTTAAACCTTTTTTAATACAAGGGGACTTAGATCGCATTTGTTTTTGTTTTTTTTGGAAAAAACCATTTCAAATGCGAATATCTCCGAAACGAATCAATAGAATTTAAAAAGCAAAGCAGATTAGTAATCACGATTAAATTGGCTTTCAAATAATGTGCCATTTGCCATAGGATTCTATTTAAAATTTTAGGGGTTAAGCTCCCTACGTAGAGGGGTGAAGACTTGGGTTCGTGATTTGTATTCCAAAAGTTGTCCCCCTCGAATATAAAATTGACGTGTTCGAGGATTTTTCGAAATTTATAAATTTAATATCCTAAAAGCCTTCTGTATACTTCTCGTTGGGCCACTCTGTATATTCGAGTGTAACGTCAATATGATTATATTTTATTTCCCTTATTTTTATATTATTTTGCATGTATCGTACAATAGACTTTTTTAATGTTCATAAAAGTTTCTATTATTTTTCCCATAAGTTTCCTTATTTATGTACGAAATAAATAATAGCTTTAATTCCTTATTCATGAATACACAATACCCTTTGAGTAAATGTAACAAAGTTACAAGGCGTACGATCAGCTCAGCCACAGTGGTTAGACAGTCGTGCTTTTAACGTTTTAGTATTCTTCCATCCAAAATCCATTAGAAAATGTCCCACTCGATTAGTAAATGCCATTTGTTGCTTTGATTTGGACCTTTTTGTACTCTACAGTTTAAAATCTATTAGAAAATGTCTTTTTCGATCAACACTCTGCTTTTTTTAACCATTTTTTATTTTTTTGCTGCAGCGGTTTTCTATTTTGACCTCGAGGAGGAAACTGCATACAAATTTCTTATCTAATCATTGCCAATTTTAGTTTTTTTTAGTGTTTTCCAAATTAGTTTGGTGATTATATCATTAATGGCCGTTTGCACCGACAAATTTAAGCGGAGCTTAGCTTAAGCGTGGCCTAAAATCCATGGCAACGATTATTGAGACAATGGTTGCTCTGCCTCGGTCGTGGAAACTCAAATTTCCTGACAGAAATTAGGCATGAAAATAGAGGTTTCGGGACGATTTTGGGTAAAATAAATTATGGTCATTATTAGTAACCTGGGAAAGGTAGTAGATTTTCGTTTAACGATTTGTGCTGGTGCTGCCAAATGCGCCTCCAGCCTGGGGGTCGTTTCCACGTCATCTCAGGGATGGAAATTGTTTGTTATAAATTGATCATATAGCAATAGATGAAATATTAATTCCAAGCAAAAAGTTTTCTAAACATTTTCTTATATACCTAATACTTTTCGAGTTATTCGCGACCGAAAGTTTCATTTTTCCGTAAAAATGTTTCTAATTGGTTATTAGCGAGAAGCTCGGAATTTTATAAGGAAATTGTGTAGAATAAAATTGGAACTTTTAAGAAACAAAAAAAATGGTCTCAATTACTGTATGACCAATTATACGAACCGAACAATGACTCGTTAAAAGTTAGCCTTTCTTCGTCCAACGTTAAATTATAGTGCTTTACAGTCAAATAAATCGAAAACTATACATTTTTCGAATAAAACCTACAGAATCTTGTTTTAAGTATTAAAACAAATCTTTCTTTAAAAAAATGTCTGTAACGCAAAAATTGAGCTAAAAGTAAGAAAAGAATTTGTGCAATGCTATGAAAAACGTTCTTTTCTTCAAAATAACTCGAACACTACTGGAGATACGCAAAAATTCTACAGTAGCAAATTATAGCGTTTTTAATTCAAAAACGTATTTAATTTAATCTTGATCACCGTCCTTAGCTTACATTTATAACAAAGTTTTAAGAATTTGAAAATCTGCATTCGTTCCCGTGATATCGCGCTGTTCCATTCATTTCTGAACACTCTGTATGGTTTTATAGGTTTTGACGAAAAGGAGTAGTTTTCTCCCCTAAAAAATCAAGAGCGTTTATCGGAATAATATAGATTTTGAAGGGAAGGGAAGTTGAATTTGTGTGCAAATCACTGCATTTTAAAAAATTGCTAGGTTTTGTACAATTTTAAGCACTATTGTTCCTTTTTATGTTTTGTAACCTTAATACCTAAAATTTCACTACCTTTTGGCTTGGAAACTGAAATTTAATTTTTATCCTAAGTCATACGACTGTTATTAAATTTGAGAGTGTTGAAAATCATTTTTTCCATACAATTAAAATATCTGGATACTTAGCAGCGCATTTTTCCACAAGTGAACTTTAAATGCCCCCTACCCCTACCCAAAGCTTAACCTTAACGCTCGGCACCACGAGACATTTTAAGAGAAAACTATTTCTCAATGCCATTAATTGATTCTCTTAATTTTGCCCCAAGTAACTTGAGTCTATTTACTCTATGCTTGAGTCGACCCAAATCTCCCCAATCCACCTTTTAGATTTTCCCAAAATTTCTGTCTTAACTTCCTGAGAATTTCCTCAGGAATTCCTCTCATTTCTCCAAAAAATGCATACATGCTCACACAATTTCCTCAATTGTGTCATATATCTCCCAAAATTTCTATAAGCAGAACCACAATTTGCCCACCGCCATCTTTAATTTTAGTTTAAAAAATCCACGCACATTTTACTCCATGCGGTATTTAATGGTTTTCTTTAATTGAAATTATAATCGAATTCGCCTACAAAGGGAAGCCAATCTAATTTTTGCAATAATTTACTTTTTATTGTAATACAAAATCCTGGTTCTGCGGTTTGCAGCGACACATAAGCAGCACATAATCCTTTTGTGGGAAAAATCAAGTTTTAAACCATTTCCCCTCTCCATATTTTATTGCAGTAACCAAAATCTATTAGTAAACATATTTTCCTTGTTGATATTTGTCAACCTCTTTTTCCCTCGTCAAGACTCCTTGCTATCTTTCAGCCTTACTTTTGGTTGCAGTGATTAGATCGTTACAAACTCAGAAGGGACAATCCACTGTGAAATTCTGGTGTACAACCTCTTGGAATACATTGAAATTTTTTGGATATCATGGAATTCATGGAATTATTTTGCAATTCTCATGAAATTATTTTGGAGTTCATGGAAATTATGATTCAGTTTTGGAAGTCTGATGGAATTTGTTTGGAATTATGTTACATTTTTGAGAAAAAATGAATGAAAGAGAAGAAATAAGCCTTTTAATGACGTACAAGACTTGTTGCTACTAAAAAAATTCAAGATTGCAACCTCTGTGAAATAATTTCAAATAGAAGCGTTCTAATTTTCATATAACCTCAAACGGTTTGAATGTGGGAGCTTTGGTTCCACGGGTAATAGCGACCTTGTATTTTTTTCATACATAAATTTGATTTTAGACAGATAAACAAATTGCGACTTGAATAAATTATTTTTGTTTAGTAATAACTGTGTTACGGTACGATGTGGGGGACATATAATTTCCTCTTTTAGCTGAGGCTCATTTCTAATCTTCAAATCCAGTCTGCCATTTTTGACCAGGAAGCTTAAAATTAATCTACAATTTTTGAGAGTAGGTATATTTAGAGAGAGTTGGATTTGTTTTGTTTTCGTTTAATTACTGCAGATAATAAATTGAGACTAATGCCCGGTTCACAAACGATGATAAAGGTTAATCACTGATTAAATGATTGGGAAGCAAATGAGCGTATAATCAAAGGTGGATGACTATCTAATATTTTTGAGCATTGATTAACTTTATTCATCGTTTGTGAAACCGGGCATAAGGCGGTCTAAAACAACGAGTACTTTGACCCTCTCAAGTAATCTATAGTCATTCGTATAACATTATTTTGTTGTGTCGAGATAATCACTTAGTGGCTGCATGGTATGCGTTTCGCCTTTGAACTGCGTTTACTTGTAAACTTACGTGTGATATGACGTGTAGGATTTTCAATGGAATTATATTTCCCTCGGTGCAATTCTGCCACAACTGTAATGTTATTGTGAACTTGACACTTAATTTGGTGAGACACTAATCCAAGAACTTTTCGCACTTGTTTTGAACTACTTAACGTGGCCACTTTATTTTTCTTCAGAAATGAATCCCAGTTTAGCAGCTAAAGTTCACAAATTAAGGTTTGCATAAATTATACAAGAAACTAGGGTTTACCAACCTTTCTCCTCAATCTCAGAAATTTCCTTAACGTTTATTTCTACATAATCTTACAAATACAATTATTGTTAAATAAATAAGTACACTAAATCACAACTTCGTCAATTTATAATTAGCTGGTTAACGTAATCATCTTTATCACTGATGTTATCTTCTTGATTGACAAACCAATGCCTACGTTCCTCTACCATCCTCTTAGTTGTCTCGGTTAATGAATCTATCGAAGTGGCTTCACCCCCATAGTCTCTTGGTAACTCGGACAACGGGAAGTCCGTATACAGACGGTTGGCGTTACTGCTGCTATAAAATCGTACCTAGAATGGGTGTTTGAGTTTGGGCTTTCTAGAATGAGCACTTACCCTTGACACAATTTTCAATGGAATAAAGGGTTTGAACATGCTAAATATGAGGCCCATAAAAGGGATACAATTAATGATGTGAACTGCTCTAATTCTGATTGGGTATGCCTTCCAAATTATGCGAAATATCTCCTTTACTAAGCTTGGAGATACCTGCCTTATGTACCCAAACGGAAGGTTGGTGCAGTCAATGATGATTGTATGACCACTAATCATAACGGTCGGACTCTCGTTAATTAACACCTCGAAAGCCATTAGACCGACTTTAATCACATTTACCAAGGAAACCTTTTTCGTGTCGCAATTTTCCCATCGAATTAGGAGCGTCTCATAGTTCTCCGAAGATAAAAACAGCAACATTCTACAACACTAATTAGAAATAAGCCTCTTCCCTTGCACTCTACTAACCCTTTCGACAGGACCTCCCTCAGTTCGTCACTGTACGGGTCTCTATCGCTCATCAAAACATCGCTTTTACTCGATTTGGAAGAGAGGTAGTGAAACAGCTTGTCGCGAGTTCTCTCCTGTGCGAATTTGCACCCGCGCAAAAAGTTCAGCAGTCCCAATTCACCTAAAACGAAAATTAAGCGTTTGCAACCCCCAAGATGCGCGCTTACTCAAACAATCGTGCTGCAGATTCTGCTCCCTTAACCACTCCTTAATTTCCCTCAAACCATTCTCTCTGATTTCCGGTGTTTCGCCGAGCTCTCTCTTCGCCCTCTCTTCTATTTCTGTCGACTCGATCATACTCTCTAGGAAGCGCGATTCTATTGAATGAAAATGTAAGTTTGAAGAAAGATAAGCTTATTTTTAAACAACGATAATATCACTGTCGTCTTTTGACGCAGATATTTCGATTCTCGAAATTTGATTTGAAAGGGTAATCTTTTGGCACGATTGGGCAATGCACATTAATCGATTGCAAACTACGCACTACAATCATTTGAGCTACTTATATTACGTTCATAATTCATTACGGTCGTAGCACTGCATATTATTGTTTTGTTTCAGTACAATGGATATTGTGTGATCTTTGTGACGCACTTATCTGCGATTTCTCACCACAACTTACTGGTTTTCTTGGGGGAGGTTTTTCTCACCGCCAGTTTCTTAAGTTGAAGGTTAGGAACATCAGTTTTCTAGTTGTTTATATTGCACATTGACCCAGTTGGTTATCGCATCTGTTTTCTCGTGTGTTATCACAGACGCCGCTGATCTAAAAAAGACCAGAACGAGTTTCTTTCTTTTGGAATTTCCTTTGTCTTCTGATCAGGGCTCGTAATGGACCGGAACGAGCCGGAACACCGTTCCGGTTGGTAAAAAATATTACAATACCGTTCCGTTTCGTGGAAAATTGTTGTACATCGTTCCTTTTCGTAGAGGGAAACGATTATACGTCCTCCAGATCATACCAGCACACGGAACCCAGCAATATCCGTTTGTCTCTACACAAAGGGAAACAATAAAAATGAAACATTTAATTTTTGTTACGTTTTATCGTTGTTTTTATGGACTTAGGTACTATGTTTTCTTGTTACCCCCCCCCCCCCCCGCCCTCCTCGTGATGGAGGTTCCGGTCCGCGAAAATGTCCATTCCGAGAGAAGTCGACACAGCAATTTTGACTTACGCGAAAATCGTGTGTAAATTAAGGAAGTCGGTAAAGTTCTACAAGTTGGTTGCTTGATCTCTTCTTAATTATGTATAATTTAAGCTCCTCGCGAAGCTTTAGTACTTTCGCGAGACAGTGCAGCGTTCCGAAACAAAACAGTTACAACTAGGGTACATCCAGAAGTTATGCTTCAGAACATTTCGAAACCTCACACGTTACGAAAATTAAAACCATCTCGTTGCATATACGTGACGGGTTTAAATTAAAACTTATGGGATGTCGAAAAGGGTAATCCGGTAATATTTTCGTTTGCGTAAAGCCCTGTCTAACACACACACTCAATTATATAGGGATCATTCGTAAATATAGTTTCAGAATCCCCTTAAGATCGTGGCACTTCAACTTACTTGATGCGATGCTAAAATCTCGAGTTTCGAGATCATCCCTTACTCTCGTGCAACTTCATGAATTCCTTAGAAACTTTCCAAGTTGCTTTTACATCAAGTTAAAAATGGATCGAGTGTATACAAGTGGGCTTCCCGAGAAGTGAATAAGATAGTTGTCTTTTTGTTTAACAGCGTATAGGTCCTTGTGGTTGCACAAAAGTTTCGTGCAGTATTGATGACACGTGCCCATGTTTTGGGATTTTAATACATTTCAAAATGGTTTATCAAGGACTTAGTTGCCGTCCGCATTTTTAAATTAATCCCGAATACGTACACGATGTTGTTTGGGTTTTTTGTTCTTTCTATTATAACGTAATTCTACTTTTCGTACAAAATATTGGAATGTTTTTTTGATCTCCATTAATTGTTTCGGCAGTCTACATCAACAAAAGCTGTCATGCGTTCTTAATCCGCAGAATTTTGTTAGTAAACGCGATTTCAAATAAAGAATTTGTATCATGAGGATTAGTTTTAACGGCATAGGGCATGTGTTACCTACAAAGAAAATTTAAACCTCGCCCTTACCCTTCTATTTCACATGCCCCGTTTCACAACGAGGATTAAGGTTAATCAATGATTAAAAATATAATAATGTTAGCCACCCTTGTTTATAAGGTGAAATCTTTCCCATTCCCAATGAGTAAACAGGGTAATGTGCTTGTTATATTTACAAGAGTCGAAGACCATAAAAACTAGGTAAACAATAAAATTAGTTTTCAAATCATCTTGGTCTGCTTTAATCTTCTTTTCTAATTCAATCTGTTTTCATCTGACCTTCTTCTACTTCTTCTATATTGTTTTCCATTTTATCTTGGTCTTCTTGTACTTCTCGGATAAGCATCGCGATCATGTTGGTTATTTGCTGCATCCCCGCTTGTCGCTTACTGTCTCGTAACTTCCGTATTTTGACTTTAATCTTAGTAACTTGACTTTTCAATTGAAATCTCCCTGTTTAACAAAACTAAATTAGATGTCATCCAGAGAAGTGAGCTCAGTTCTCGGATCCATAAACCTTCAAAGCAAGAAACTGACCAAAGCCTGAAGGGCCTCGACTTACTCGTAGTAAGCTTCTATCACAAGTACGATAATAACTCGGCCAACCTTTCCACGCGGAAGTGGGGGGGCTACCATAACATTCGCGTATAAAACTCGACCAAAACCAAACCCGAGTTCAGGTGCTGGTACTGAAGGTTACAAGTTAATTGAATGCAATAGCTTATAACCTTGAAGGGGCAAACTAATGACCAATTGTTCCGCCAGTTTCATGGTTAACGATCAAATCTTTGATATCAAATCTGGTGCCAATGACCCAAATTCAGCAAATGGCAGCTGAATATCAGCAGGCCTGTAGATATGTCAAAAGATGGCAACCGACAGAATGGTAGGTACTTAAAGCGTTTCCGAACGGAAGCTGGTCCGTAAACTGATACTATAAATTAAAACTTGACTTTGAACCATACAATTAAAACTTGACTCTGAACCCTACAATTAAAACTATACTTGAACCCTACGAGAAAATCAAAGATAACCCTGTTCGTTGATAACCGAAAGTGTTTAAATAAGAAGGTCAATTATAGATGGATGTGCAACAATCATGCAATCGTCCATAGAAATTATGTTATGGCAATTATCAGTCGAAATCTAAAGAAAGGTACGCAAAAGCCAGAGGAGACGCAATTATATCCTCCCGATATAGGAGTCAAGGAAAAATCCCTCCATGAACCAATGCGGAATCCCCAATTAAACGAATTTTCTCTCCAAATATTGAAAAATTATGGATGGCGGCAAATTAAATTCCACGGGTTGTGCTCAGTTATACGAGGTGCACTCTCTTAGATCTCGCAAACGGAAAAAAAGAGGAATGTACCAACGCGCGCTAAAATTGCGTGGTTAGAATTCCAACGACAAATGCGGTTATCTCATCCAGGGTTACGACTGTTACGAAGATCTTTCAAGATGTAAATATTGGTTGCTTTGTAGTGAAGAAAATAAACTGTTACGCCCACTCCAATCATTCAAAAGTAACACAAACTAACTCCCCACCCTTAACTTACTTCGATAGCAGCCAAGAAACCAAGGTTACACGGAGTTTCAAAATAACTAGATCAGGTTCGTGGTCACGGTCTTTGTGAATTCCCCCTAACTTGAATGTCCTAACAACAATATACTACCCCATTTTTTATACACAAATTACGCTATTAATAATCATAATGGACCCATGAATTTGGAGATTGCATTGCTTGAATTTTGAACAAACTAACTTTAATTGAGAAACTTTTTTTCAAATTCAATTGCAATGGGTTCCTAAATGGTAAGAATACATGCAATACAAACGGCCTGAAATTTTAGGAAAACAGATAACATTTATTAATACATTTTAAACCTTGTTGAGCGTTGGGCTATAGATCCGCAGGTCGGGTGTTCGAACCTGGGTTGAGGTGAATTTTTTATCTGTGGCAGAGATGGGAATTACCTTATACCATTTAAAACGGAATTATGTGCATTTTTTATCATTTTAAAGAAACCCAAAGAAATCTTTAGCAGTTTTTAAGGTAGCGAGGTGAGCCGGCATAGCCGCTAAAATTATGCAAACTGGAAATCTGATGGAATTTTTTTGGAATCCTGGAATTGTTTTACACCTTAGCGGTGTAAGTACAGATCTTTCCTCGATACTCCCGCGTTCAAAGATAGGGATTATTTTCCAAAACTTTCACGGATCAATTCCCTCGAGACTCTCTCAGAGAATGAATTTACTTTTTTACTATTTCTTGCTCTTACTATGAACCGCGCACTATTCGCCTCGGGGGGTCAAACGCGACTGAACGCAAAATCTTCTAGAATAACCCCTACTTAATTGCTGACTAATTCACGCACTTTTCAAGATGGCTTCTAGTAGTTCAGTAAACCAATTTTCGCTACTGGCCAATCAGAGTTGCACGTATACTACCTCTCCCTGAATTTTTGCAAATTCCGATTTCGAGAACTAATTTGAGGCGACCGCGTATACAGGCTGATTCAAGTTCTAGGGTCACCTTGGGGTCTCGGGAACTGTAAGAGCTAGGTAGGTAGTTTAATTTTGGAAAAGTTGCAATATTGTTCCAATATTTTCTTTTTTGCCTAAAAAAGTTTGTCTTGGGTTAGTGTACGTACCTATAAGTTTCTCACGTTTTTACAAATTAATATCGCTATTTCTGATTAAAACAATTTTACATTTTTGATATCAAAAAAAATTCTCGATCAAATGGCACAAAAACTAAAACTTTCATAAAAAAAAATTGGATGATGGTTAACCGGAGACGAAACGTTAAAATTTAAAACTAGCAACTAGTAAAGGGAAAAAAGTGGGCATAATAATCTGTCATTTATTTTGAAATACGTTTTTAAATAACTTGGGTAAAAAATAAAAATGATTTCGTAAAATTTCGTTTTATTCAAGATATCTCCGAAAGTATAGGAATTTTTTCAGTTTCAAAAGTGCATTTTGTTAAGTGTCAAAATACGCAAAACCTGAACTGTTCGAACCTCGGTTCGAACGTTAAAAAAATTCCGAAAAATCCCAACTTTACATATCTCAATAAAATTCGAAAATATAATCCAAATTTAAAGGTTATCGTTACAAGTTTAAACTAGAATTTCGAGCATCATCTTCTTACTTATGTCTGAAACAATTTTTAATTTCAAACATAAGCATTGTACTTCCATTTCACCGTCAAGATACAAAAGCAACCACCACCTTCAAGCTGCTCCTTTGAAATTCGACTTTAACCTGCTCCTTGAAGATTCAACAGTGTTAAAGTTCTAACATTCAACTTTAATCAGAGATTTCAACTTCCAGGCTAGCCTTCAGCTCTTCGGTGTACATTTTAAATATTGAAATTGTACATTCGCATTCCATTTAATAGGATGTATGAACGCGCTCGATCAGAGCGCCACCAATTAGAAACTAATGCAATTTTCGGTGTTCAGGTAAATTACACAAGCTTACTCCTACTAAAGCACAGGCTTGTGTTGTTTCCGTTCAATTGATTCTTTGTCAAATTTTCAATTCGAAAGTTTTATTTGTCCCCTCCAAAGTTGACGCATAAATCTTACGTCGTACTTATATTAAACCACATAAAAATGATATACTCGTCCGATTATAAACTGACGTAACCCAACTTTCGAACCGTTTTGAACACATCTTTCAAACTCGAAGCGTTTTGTAGTTTCACATTGAGATTTACAAGAATTTCCAAACCGCTGCGAAAATTGGTCCATCTGGATCTTTATGCGCATAATTTACGTCGCGCTATCTCCCAATAAAATTTATTACACCTTGTATATTATAAAGTGGAACGTCACGCTTTTTCCCAGTTATAATTAAGACATCTTCCCATTTACTTCTGCAGGATATCCGAGGAATGATCGCATGGCAGCCATAAATTTGACGTTCCCGGCGGATCAACCACGTCCCATCGCTCTCTATCATTGTCCTTAGTTTGTTTCGCAATTCGCGATTACGCATTTGATGAAATAGATATTTTTTGTGTTTGCGCCGGAGGGGCCCGTATTAAATCTCTGAACTGACGCGAACTTTCTTAATTTAAACGTCGCCTTGTTTCATATTTGGATTTCGGGTGACGCGAAGGAGAAGTGGAAAGCTTTTAGTACGCCGACAGTACGCTATTGTTAAATTAGAGGAACACTCGGAAATAATTTTTGGGGTAGGTACCTACTAATTGCAGCGAAACTTGATTCAGTTTAAAAAGGAGTGCACTTTGTGCCTTTTAGTAAACATTAGGGAACGCGAGAAATAAGGGAGGCAATTTAGGAAAGTGCGTTCTCAAACAATCTTGGCAGCTTTAGTGAAGCTATATAAATGGTTGACAAGTCAGTTTCATCGCGATAATGTAGGTAAACACTTCTACAGGTCTTACAGGAATTTACCCGAAATTGACTGGGAGGGGTGGGCACGTCAAACAATTCCTTCAGTTTTAGTTATCTTATATTGAGTTTATTAAGCGGAAAATTTACGTTTTTCATTTTGTTACAGGAATGAAACCACGCCTGAAAAACCACTTCAGGGCTCATCAACTCAGTGTATGGCTACGACTTATACCCGAGCTTCATCGAGCGGGAATGGAGGATGTTGTTGCGAGACATAATCTTTTTAGAAACCATAATAATGCGGATTTATACGACGGGGCTGTACGTCCAGATCCTCTTTCACGCGTTAGTTACTACGAACCTTCGGCGGATCTCTTTAGGAGACGCAACTCTTCCATACAACTGGAGTCGCCGACGACAATGGACACTTTAGTGACTACTTGCGTTAGTGTTGTATCGTCGAGCAATTTCAATCATCAAACTTTTCAAAATCAGAATTCGTCGGCGGATACGCTGGCCAGTCTCGAGGCGGCGGGTTACGCCGCGTACAGTACGGCTCTTAGTGTCACGATAGCGATCGGTTGCTCGCTGCTGATTTTAAACGTGCTTATTTTCGCGGGTGTCTACTACCAGCGGGATAAGACGAGAATGGAGGTGAAATCGCTCCAGCAACAGCAGCAGAGGAACCAGGCGAACTTCGAGGCGATCTCCAAGCACGGCCACTACCACATCGGCCATTCGCAAAGTACAAGCGTGATGGTGGACGTGGAGGATACATCGGCCATGATGCTAGCCAACGCACAACAGGACATAAACACCTTGTCGAAAACGCAGTCGCATCTCTGCCCAGCGCTCTCGAACTCCCTGAAAGCGCCACCCTCCAGCCCCAACATCATGATGCAAAGTAACTGTATGACACTTCCGAAAAATTCCGGCGGATGCATGCAAAATTACAGCCAAGGATGCATGACCCTTCCAAAAAATACGACCCTCATGAATAACACAGCGAACGTAATTGCAGAAATGCAACAGCAAGGAATCGTACAACCCCCGAACGGAAGCGCGACAATGCCGCTTAGCGTTCCTCGTCCGCCGCCACCGCCCAAAGTGAAAAGCCCACCGGAAAGTCAACCCCTTTTAATTTCGCATCATAATAACCAAGGAAAGCAAACTAACATGCGAGTTCCACAGGCTGCTATGAGCGAAATGCGAGTGTGATAAAATTAAGTGTTTAACTCCACAGCAGTGCCGTTATGCTCAAATTCGTCCGAGAGACTTGCGGTATGAACGCATATTGTTTATAATTTAAATACGGCCTATCCGATGGCTTAAATTTCCTAGCATATTATATACGAAAATACAAGATTTAATTATGAATGTTTGTATGTATAATAAGTGTACATTATTACCGACTCTGTTCCTTGTTCTGTTTGCTGTGTCGAGTTTATTCCATTGTTTGACTACTTTGTACTAAACAGTATTACGTATACCACCTCATAATTTCCCAACTAATAAAATAGGGCGCCGCTTATTAGGATTTCATTATAACCAGTGCCAAAGAAAACGACCGAAATGGCACTAAGGCCGCCGAAGATTGTTATAGCGGACAATCCGTTTAAATGAATTTAAATTTAAAACAATTGTGTAAATAAATCAGTAATACGTTTCAAATTTCAACGAAAAATAGATGACAAAAAATAGATTAATTACCTACCTTTTTAGGACAACTAAAATGTTAAATGTAATTTGTTTTTTCGGTGAATTTTGGAACCCCCTTCACAAAATGACCTTTACTACTACAACGGTGCAAGTCTTTAATTAAAAAAAAGAACAATTTCAAGTTGTACTAAAACATGTTTGTATTCCGCGACTCGTTAACTGATGTTTTAAGTAATGTCACATATTAATTATTAATAAAGATTTAATGAATTTAAGGTATACATTTCTATTTCCCAGCCGTCGACACCACAAAAATTAAGTAGACCATAGCATCCTTATTGATAACGATTAAGGGTGAGTTAAACCGGTACTCTCAAACTTTGGCAAAACGCCAAGATCGACTGGTATTTCACCAATGAACATTTGTACACCAAAGTTCCATTATTTCCTTTCAATTCCCCCGGATTTCATTTAAATTCCCTATAAATCTTATTAAATTCCCCCTAATTCCTTTTAATTCCCTTTAATTCCCAATCGTTTTTCGTGCTACTTTTTCAAAAAAATCCCCAAACACAAGCTATTGGTGAGGTATAAATGGTAGCAATAGGATGGGTTAATACTTTACAACTTCCCTAAGGACACTACTAAAAAATGTTATATTTGCATAAATTATAACTATTTTAAATAAAACACCCTGTATTTTATTGCCTTTTTTGAAATCTACACGAAAATCTACGTCGTTTGATACCACATTTCCCTATATGCAGCATCAAAAGTTTTCAAGTTATTTAAAATTTTTCAAAATTTTTGACGTTCGCTATTCTCATGATTCCGTTGACTTGAATTTCAAAAAGTATTCCAAAATCGACAGAACTGACTTGATGCTGATGATGATTTAAATTTTGATCGCCCTTCTACAGGGTGTTTTAAAACTAATGTTCAACTTTAATATCTTCAAACTTTAAAAAGTAGATTTTTCCAAATGAAATAGACTTTATTTTTTTGCACGGTATACATTTCTATTTCCCAGCCGTCGACACCACAAAAATTAAGTAGACCATAGCATCCCTATTGATAACAATTAAGGGAGTTAACGAACGTTCCATTAATTTCTTTTAATTTCCCCGAATTCCTTTTCAATTCCTCCCTGATTTTCCATAATTCTCCTCAATTCCTTTTAATTTCCTTCAATTCCCAACCGTTTTTCGTGCTACTTTTTCAAAAAAATCCCTAAACACAAGCTATTGGTGAGGTATAAAAGGTAGCAATAGGAAGGGTTAATACTTTACAACTTTCCTAAGGGCACTACTAAAAAATGTTGTATTTGCATACAATTATAATTATTTTAAATAGAACACCCTGTATTTTATTGCCTTTTTTGAAATCTACACAAAAATCTACGTCGTTTGATACCACATTTCCCTATATTCAGCATCAAAGGTTTTCAAGTTATTCAAAATTGTTAAAAAATTTTGACGTTTGCTATTCTCATGACTCCGTTGACTTGAATTTCAAAAAGTATTCCAAAATCGACAGAACTGAATTGATGCTGATGATGATTTAAATTTTGATCGGCCTTCTACAGGGTGTTTTAAAACTATTGTTCAACTTTAAGCGGAGATCGGGGTGTTCGAACCTGGGTTGAGGTGAATTTTTCATCTGTGGCGGAGATGGAAATTACCTTAGACTAGTTCCGAGCATTCTACCGGCTACTCCGAATTAGGTTTTCCTGCAGTTTTCCTAATTCGTAAGGTAAATACCGGAGTAGTATAGACCAACTTAAGACCTTTTGCAGAGGCACCTCTAAATAGCATTATGCGGGTCACTCTGTAATTGGGCGCATGTCTGTTGAGGGCCCAAAACAAGAGAGGGATAATAATAAATAAATAATAAATAAATAAATAAATATCTTCAACCCTTAAAATGTTGATTTTTCCAAATGAAAAATACTTTATTTTTTTGCACGTTCAAAACGCTAAAAAATTCGACTAACGGTAACGGGTTGCGTGAAACAGCCTGTATAATAATAACGTATAAATAATCCAAAAATAAATATTACAAACCTAAGCAAAATGCAAACAACCAATGCGAGAAGCTTATCCTAGGTAGTGACCCTGCAACTTTCGTTACAACTACAAACGTACTGCAATCAATGGCACCTAATTAGAGGCATTCTTTAAAGGAGTTGTATTTTTTTTAAATATTGACAAAATCTCTTGATATAAAAGATAAGAATAATCCAATATTACTTCGTGTTCTTTTTCACATTCACTCTCACTGATTTGACTGGACCTGCTCCTATTTATTCGCAACTTTTTGTTAGGTGCATTTGAATAAAAGCTTTTTAGTATATCATTGCTAATCTTTCCCTTATTTTCCTTAAGAACACAACACAAAAAACTCGACTTTTGATTTGGTAAAAAAAAACCTGTAGATAATGCCCGTTACCTGATAAACATTTCGAGAAGTCGAGTAATCTTTTAAGTCAACTTTTCTTTCAATATGATTTTGATCGTTTCAATTTTCTAATAGAAAAACCCATACAAGCTTTGAATTGCTTTTCTCAAATCTCTTCTTCTCGTCTGGTTACTGGTAGTTGGTCTTCACACTCTTTCTGATCATTATCTTCAATAGACCTCGAGCTACACTCCCAGTAAAAGTATAGAGCTCTAAGTAATGCGTTATGCATATTTTCTATGTTTATGAAGCTCAATTCCATTTAATGTCCAACTCAATTCCCTTTTAATTTCGGCTTTCAGTTCCCCTCAATTTCCCACAATTCCCTTGAATGGCTCTTATTTCCCCCCAATTCTCACAATTCCTTCGTAAATTCCACTTGTACACCAAAATACCCCAGTGAAATACCCCTCGGCCAAAATTTTCCAATCCAATAGACATTTTGGTGGACCCATAAACCAATTTTGTGCAGTTTTAGTTTCAGTAACCAACTTTACATTTACCAGAACAGTACTAAGGGATTGCAGACAATACTAACGACTGGATGACAGTTTCCTTAGTCTCCACGTGCAGGCGTTGAAATTTTTGGGCCAACTCATTTTGGAACAAATTTTAGGCTAAACAATCCAAAAAAAGGTGGCATTGTCAAGTTTTGACAAATATAAAGAAAGATAGATGTAGACGAAAATAGATCACGCCTTGGCCTAATAGCCTGGGAGGCAAAAAGTTCGCACTTTTGAGTAAGTATCAATGAGTAGGAGCTAAATAGCCGATTTCCATATAGAACAGGAACCCCTACCACTTTTGTAACGTCACAAGGTTCTTGTTTTTTGTACCTTTGTCGTTACCTTTAACGAAAAATATAAAATACCTAGACGAAGCGGTCATATGTTATCCTTCAATATTGAGGGTTTAGAATAGACGACACTAGGTATTTTATAATCTTTGAAGTTCCGGCATAAAGAGTCGAATTTACGTTACAATTGATAGCATTTGTATAATACTTTATTGGCAATTTCACTACACATTATTTCGTCTATTTCGTGATGTAGAGTGCCCTTAAAAAGTACTTATTGCATTTATAAGTGTAGCAAAGCCTCATGGTCGAACGTACTGCAGCACATGAACTTGGGAAATTTGTCCTCAGGGCAGAGTGAATTACGTAAACGCCACTTTCCTTTGTAGACTCTATAAGCCGAGAATGCTCTGCTCTTAGATCTTTTCTGAGAACCGATATTTTCGCAAAGTGAATTTGAGTGAACGTAGAAAGGCCAACGCACGGCGCTTTTCATAAATCACTTGCAGTTAAAACAGTCCTAAAGAAATGAAAATGAATTTCCTTTTGATAGTGGCTTGTGCAAATAAGACACAAACCTGACCTCGGGAATAAAGGGAATGTACGTTTGCGCTTTCACCTGACTCGGGCCAATTATGAGAGCAGTGTCGACTAATCAACTTGCATGGATTGTTTCCATCCCTCTTTGTCCTCGTTAAATTAAATGTAAATATACTTTAGAACGGAAAATTGATCTCCTCCCCCACCCCCGATGAATGTGGACAATTTGTATGATATTTTTCTACCTCATTTACTTATTAATCAAGCAATACCCTCTTTTAATTAGGTTTACGTTTGAAGTCTACATTGATCTTATCTAATTGGACTATAGAAGCACTGATGACTGTTTATCTATCATTACCACATCCCCTTATTGAATGAATTAATTATTGCACAACGATAACTTACGCCTCGGCAGCGCCAATGACATCTGACAGAAATGAGATTTATGTTTCATTATTAACGTTAACATTGCAATTATAGTGTTTGTCTAATTTATCATGCACGTGTCGTTTACCGATTAGTTGCGAGATCTGCTTTGGCGATTAATTATAGCATGAAGACGAAAAGTCTCTGATGCTCTTGTGGCCAGATTTGTTAAAATTTACGCTTCTTTGACTTTCCCCATTTATGCAACCATGTTTCATTTACCCTTCTTTAAGACAAAAACTATTTCATCATGAAAGAAACTTTTAAATTTGGGTGGTTATTTTAAAAACTGAAAAAATCCTTTGAGTTGTATGTTTAGCTTTCCACTTTAGTCCCGAAAGCCAATATTGCAAAGTTTGAGGGACATCCGTCTGTTAAAGCCGTTTAATATTTAAGTTTATACCTAGTTATTTTTATTTATGTATACAATCATTTGAACTTAAATTGGAAAATTTTGAGTGATTTCGTTCAATTTCAAGAATGTTGTTATTGCCTTGATGCGTGTGAGGTGTATCGTTACAGGTTCTCAATCAATATTAATCGTTGACCTCCTTTACCTCGACCTATGTATCCTTACCACCGAAGAAAAAATAGTGATTGAATGGCAACAGGTGATTGATATTTTCTTATATCAAATACATAAATACAGTCCTTTACATTTTTTACTTGTAGGCCAAAGTTAAACAGTTGGGGGGTGAAGACACTGAAACAAAATTCGTAGCTTTACATTTTAACCTCAAGGTCAACATTTCAAATGTATTTTGAGTAGAAATGTTGAAAAGGCATTTGCAGTTTCATATTTGAAGTTCAAAGCCGAAATTGTAAAAAATGTGTGTTGAAAGGTGGACAAAAATGATTTGACGATGAGAAGGTAGAGAAAGAAAGAAAGAGAGAAAGAAAGAAAGGGAGAGAGAGAGAGACGAGAGTTTTGAAAACATTTAAGAATTTAATTTGCTGTCAGTTACCTTTGTGACAATCTTGGAATAGTGAAAATTAATTCGTTGATTCAGATTAATCTTCCAAAATCGTTTACACACTAGCCGAAATAGTGGAAATTATTCTAATTATTTAATACAAAAGTAACTAACAGCAAATTGAATTCTTTCTTTCCCATAGCAACAAACAAGTGATATTTTCTTTTGTTTTTGTCTATTTGAACAAATCAAGGTAAGTCGATTAAATAAATTACAAGATTTTTCTAATTTTCTCGAAAACAAATCGACCGATTTTAAAAAATCACGTCAAAATAAAGGACTTCGAAAGAGTTTTCAAATAAGCTCGATACCATTTGTCATTTAAAATTTTTAAGGGAAGGACCCTGGGGGGCAGAGGGTGAAAGGGAATCTTCTGACACACTTAAGCAAATTATTTCCAGAGGTCTCTAATACCTACTACGCGAATTTACATATTGTGATCATTATTTGTATGTATGTGCGAAATGGTTGCTTCTTTTTCATTGGAAAACAAATTTGACACTTACTCCCACCAGTGCTTTTGCGATTTGTCAATTATTCATTATTTATGGTGTGTGAATTAAAAGTCCTTGCGCCTGCAACCCTATCAAGGCTTGATGCATGAGCTTTTGTTGTTACTTACCTTAAAAATCCTACTTGATTTTGTTTATTCGGTACGGTCTGTTCTGGAATAGGGAGAAAATTCGAACTACATTATAATACTGTATTTTGTCTTCATACAAATGATTAAATATAATAAGTTGATGTACTTAAACTAAGTTTTGAATAAGTTTCGAAAAGGGTACCCGTGTAAGGAATTTCAATTCTCCACTTTAGATCGGGCGAATAATCCTTACATCCTGTAAGAATTCTAATTGAAGTACATAATGAACTAGTTATTACCCACCAGAGAGTGGTTACAGAAATTCTTCGCAGTCGACTATCAAACTAATACTGTAATTAAGGGCAGCTTCAGTAACACCTAAATTCAATAAAGCATAAAAATAAATTACCTAATGAGATTCCGTTAATAAATAGAAAAAGTTTAACTAAACGCGCTTAACGACAGTTCCCGTATCTGATTCTTCCGATGGAGTGGACTCGGAACTGATCGATTCCTTGTTAGGCGAACTATCGCCGTCTTTAACTAAGGTCGGTATCTGTGAAGGTTTGGGCTTTTTGGGATCACCCTCCCTTGTTAAGGTTGGCGCGGTGACCTTCAACTGGTTGTATTTCTCATCTGCGCTATTTCGGGCGACGACCCTTGCCCCCACCTTATTTAGTAGCTCAGTCGATTTTTTGGCGATTGTAGGTTTTATCACTACCTTCGGCTCTGGTCTCTTGGGAAGGTTTTGCGTATTTGCGCTTATAATGGTCTTTGGCTCCTTCTTCTCTTGAACTTCCTTCGGTTTCGGTGGTCGGAGAGGTTCATAAATTTGCTGTATGCTTTGCTTGTAAGGGTCTTGCTTTTTTAACGTGGAGGGCACTAACGGCCCTATGTATAGGTTGTTGAATGTGACCTCCGGCTCCGATGGTGCCGGTGGTTCTTCTGCTAAAGCAGCGGGTGAATCACAAACGCGCAGAATGTTTGGAGTTTTCCCGCCGGCCGACGTTGTGCGCGGGGGAGGGGCCGGAGGTAGGCGCCCCAACTTTCCGCTGGGTGAAGTTGGCTGTGAAAAAGAAGATATCTCAGGTATTGGGACGTTTAGTATTCCCGGTACTGGCATCGACCGCCGTTTAATTGCGATGACCTCCTTTGAAGGTCGTGGAAAATCTGGTAAAACTTTCGGGAAGTTTCTACGTTTTATTAATAGGAGCTGTTGGTCCGCGGTGAGTGGCTCCAATTTATCTTCGGATTCATCTCTTGATGTTACATTAACATCATCTACAATTTCGCAAGGTTTCACTGACGTGAAGAAGTCTGCGGGTAAGTCGATAGGGTCCGATCTTGAGTGATGGTGGTGAATTTTCAGGGGCTGCTTAAGGTTGATGCTCGTTGACGAACAATGTAAGTTTCCATCAGAACTGGGAAGGTTCACGTCGTCCATTGTGAACGATCGTCTTAGGATCGGTTCTGCGACCGGTGGTAGGTGCTGATAATCTAAAGATTTAGACATCTCTATTGGCTGTTGCCGCATAATGCTGATGCCCCGCCCAGTTGGAGTCGCGTCAATGGCAATGGACACCTTCTCCATCTTTTTAGGTGCAATCGCCGGTTTCAAAACTGGAATCGCGCTGGGCTTAAGCTGGTGGCTGCGTTCCGTAGTTCGCTCCTCCGGACTAACGGGCCTCGTTGGGCTCTGGCCAAGTGTCGAGTTGCTATCAATCGCACTGGAAACTTGCTTCGAACTCAACTGCTTCTGTTTCGCTTTATGCTCGTCTGCTAACTGCTGTCTCGTACGACGCAGATACCGAGGGCTGCATCTGTGCACAATTTCGTGGGCGATCCAATCGCGCACTTTCGTATGCGGATCGATGGTGCTTGACGACATCTGTCGCATTAATTTAAATCTACCGGTCGAGCCATCGTCGCTCAGTTTCACCGCCTCGTAAACGTCTTCGCTCTTCGGAGGTTTACCGATAATGCTCATGAGGTTACACCCATCAAGGCCCGGTAGATCCTCAGAAACCTTCGCTGATTTTTCGGCAATACCTTCCATGGGCGGCATGCCGTACTCCTCCCTCCTCTTCTTCTCCTTGTTCTTCAGTCGCACGCACTTATAATAAAGACCGGCAAACACAAAAATATTTATAAGCAGAAAGAGGCAGCCTACAACAACTAAAAGATTGGTAGCGTTGCCACTTTTCGCTTCAGCGTCCGTCTCCTCAGTTACACGCGGCTCAACGGCTGGCTGGTCAATGACCGTCAGTGTTGGACCGACCGTTGGTTTCTTGGTAAGCTTGGGGTACGTCTTCGGTGTTGGAGGGGTGACCTTTGGGGGTTTGGTTGTCGTCTTCCAATTCTCGTAGTAAGTGGGAACGGTTGGACCCTCTTTCATAATGTTGGGTAATTTTTCGTTCCAAAACTTGACTTGTTCATCGCGGTAGCGGAATTTGACTTGCGGTGGAAGTGCTGAAACATCTCGATCAGGTCCAGGATTATGTAAATCAATATTACCGAAATACAGGTAAGCCTCATTTTCAATATCATACTCGGGCCACTCGACTTCAAAACGAATCCAGTCCATTGGACTGAGATTGTAAAATTCTGTGCGGCGGTTCACGTTGGGATCACTGCAACACGATTCCTGTTAATTGGAACCTGTGAAAACTGTGCTTACCCTGTGTAGGCGAAACTTGAGAAGTACGTCATCATCATTTCTGATAGTAGCCTTTCATATGGAGTATAATGGTCCTTGAAATGAAACTTTGGGCCGTCTAAAGGTATTCCAAAAACATAGGGTAGTTCGTCGCCTTGCACGCTTTTGTTTCTCTGTAATTAAAGCAATGCCAAAGGTAAAACTTACGCAAGTCGCTTACCAAGTGCTCTTTAGATGAAGGTGAGTGTCCAAAGACGTAGAAGTACGACTGGGGATTCGCAACGGAGTGCAGTTTTCCCATCTGTACGACAGGTGCTAATGATCGTGCATCGGATAGTATTTCAAGCAGCTTATCTCTAGCTAATTTGGCTCGGTCTACTCCGTGCTCGGAGAAGCTCCCACGCGCTTGGTCTTGCACTGGGAAATCGTGCACCTTGCCAATGTACTCTTCCAAAGTACGAGTTAGACATAACTCCGGTTTAGAGTCACATCGCAAGCGCAAGTAGCGTTTCAACTCTTGGTCTCGTTCCTTCTCGAGTAGACCGTGGGTTAAACCCACAGGGCCCAGAAGGTGCGCACTTTCGATTTCTGTGACTCCGTACATCAGCTCAAACCTAAATCGCTAACATAATTGTGGTAAGTACATCGTTGCTAGTTACCTTTTTAGCAGATCACTATACTTAGCCAAGTTTTGTCTGGGATCTCCTGCGACAACGCGCGAATCGATAATTGGCCCAAATCTCGTTGCGTAATAATCCGTCGAGACTGACGCGTTGACAATTTCGTTAGTGTTCCTTGTTCTAAGACAGTTCGCTAGCTCAGCCTCAGAACTGGGACAGTTCAGTGACCCTGCCACTTGATAGGTCACGTACCGCGGCTTACTCGAAAACGCCCAATCTGCCAAGGCAGTTCCGCCCATGAGGATTGCTCTTTTAAATAGCGCTGAAATTGTATGGTCAATGGTCATAAACTATCGTTTGTGGGGTACTTACAGTGACTACCATCGCCATTTACCATTGGAGAGAGCAGCAGTAAATTCGCGCATACCGCTCCAGTTCCATGACCGAATAGTGTCACCAGATTGGGGTTGCCCCCAAAAGCTGCAATGTTGTTTTGCACCCAAAGCAACGCAGCGATTTGATCAACCAGACCAAAGTTGCTGGAAGCTGTTTCATCCAGACCCGTTCTGAGAAATCCTGCAAATAAACGTGTTTGTTTAATAGTCCAGTAACTTTGTTCCTAAAAATGGGGGGTACCAAGCGTCAAATCCGGTAGTTCTGATTTTTTGTGGGATCGAAAATTTTTTTTTCTATTTCGGTGTCACAATGATGATTTTGTACAAAACAGTTGTACAAAGACAGTGATTATAGTCGTTTTTTTTGGTAACTCATCTCTTAAGTTGGCAGTTACTAGTTAGTACAAGTAGGTACTTCGTTGGGTACTTCCATGTTTGAACTTCAAAATGTCAGTCTTACTACGCTGCCAACCTAAAACTTAACGGCATAAAAAGTGTTCCCAACATAAAACATGTTAGTTCTAATGTTCCCTATAGTTTCTGATAATGATTTTTTTAATTAAATTAAAGCACCGAAATAGAAAAAATAGTGTGAAAAACGCGTGTTACAATGCTTTATTGTAATTGTCGTAGGTCGCATTGTAACACTTGTCTTTCAATATACTATTTCCGGGTCGATCCGAGACAATTTTTTTTTCGGGGCTCAAAAAAGGCAGTGTACAACCTTCCTTTTTTACCAAAAATCTCGCCAAAAATCGACTGCACCAAAATTTCTCGGGAAAACACTTTTTCTTATTAATTTTGGGGCGTAGAATCCAAAACAATTCGTACTTTTTCGATCACACCTCTCAATCAAAGGTTATAGACTAGAAACCAATTTCGGAAGAAAATTCAAAGGGCTGTAACTTTTGAACTAGTAGCCCAATCTTGGAACTGTTTGAAATTATGGATTCTACAGGCCACATTATATAAGAACATTTTATTTCCGGGTCGATCTGAGAAAATTTTTTTTTCGGGGCTCAAAAAAAGGCAGTGTATAACCTTCCTTTTTTACCAATAATTGACTGCACCAAAACTTCTCGGGAAAACACTTTTTCTTATTAATTTTTGTGCGTAGAATCCAAAACAATTCGTACTTTTTCGATCGGGCTTCTCAATCAAAAGTTATGGACTAGAAATCAATTTCGAAAAAAATTCAAAGGGCTGTAACTTTTGAACTAGTAGCCCAATCTTAGAACTGTTTGAAATTATGGATTCTCAGGCCACATTATATAAGAAAATTTTATTTCCGGGTCGATCTGAGACAATTTTTTTTTCGGGGCTCAAAAAAAGGCATAACCTTCCTTTTTTACCAAAAATCGACTGCACCAAAATTTCTCGGGAAAACACTTTTTCTTATTAATTACAAACTTACAAACTTATGGAAATCCTTCAAGGAGATTTAGAACACATTAGAGGATGCTATAGCACAATTCGACTGTTTTCAAAGACTCGCATACTTAAACGCCCTTAAATGCTCTTCCACAGTCTTAAACACCGACAACACTGACCATAAACATTCCTTAAGGTCCTTTAAGGACACGATTGGCTCATTTGCCTCTTTATTTTACTTATATGTAGCACTTTGTATATTTGAATTAGAAATTATATTATAAAAAAGTTATGAGAGTTTGAAATTCGAAAAAACAAAAAACATTTGTTCCATTTTGCTAATCGGGAGTGTACCAACAGGTCGATTTGCTACCCTCAATGTGTACAATATATAACTTTGTTACTTACAAGGGTTGCTGCTCCGATTTTATCTTGTAGCAATAAGGTTCGAGGCATTTATCCTCATTTTAGAGAATTTTAATGGCGTATAAAAACAAATCTGCAATGCAATCAAACGAATTTTTCCTAAGCCAAGAATTAAATTGCTTCCAGAACGTTATATTTAAGATTCTCCGAGGGCTTATTCTATAATAATGAGGGCAATTTAGTGTTATGTTCTACGACCTCATTTTATTTTATAGGTTGTCGTTAATGAAACGTAGTAATGTCAACGTTATTGACGATACCTATCTGGAAATTGTGTAGTAATATGATCATTATGGCACGTTCCGGGAAACTCCCCTAATTAAATCAAAGTATAGTCGGCCACTGTGTACCCCCAGCAAAGGGCAATTCGCTAATTGTGAAAGTAAGGGGGCACGAAACTGCCGACGTTTTTTATCGGCCGACGTAAAAGTGTGTAGTGTCGTTAAACAGTAAACTAAAGTAGTTTCACAGCCGCCGAGATCCTCAAATATAAATTTCCCTCAGCGGAAATCAAGCCAGAAACCGGGAAAACACATTTACAACAACAAAGAAAATTCCGTCGCAGGATAAAAAGATGAAATCTCGCATCGTATATATTGTGCCCATAAAAATGACAGGTTTTTGGCGAATCTTCTCACAATATACACATACACACGCAATCTATATTATTCTCTATTTGCCCCATGGGACAGTTGCCCTGCTTAGTTATATAACTACATAAGGTTCGCGCACGAAATGATGATTCCTTGCATTCGTCTGGTCCATATTTTTTCCACTGTAAAGTATCGCGGGCTATTTACAATTTCCGAAAAATGCAAACTTCTACAATCGCGAAATGAGTTTATCGATGGGATCTTTGATATAAACAAATTATGCGCTCCATGCCTCCATTTTAATGAACTATAAATATTTTATGATAATTTTATTTGACAAAATGTAATAAAATTCTCCTCTGATACCCAGTTTCAACAATCTTTACCGCTATTATCACCCCCATAGTAGGATAGGTGGCTGTTATTACGAACCTTCCATTTATTCCGCTTATTCACGTTTTATTTTATTATCCTACCATTCTTTTAAACCACAGAACCTGCAGTTGTATAATAAAATCGCTATCGTGCTGCCAAATATATAATAATTTGAAATGTGTAAGGTAGGAAATGAGTCTATGCTTGTGTCAGCGTTTGCTGGCGTACCTCGTACTCATATGTAAATGGAGGAGGTGGCTCTGAAATGGATTGTTCAATATAACCCTGTGCTAGAGGGTGAAATCCATCACAAATATTTAATGGCTCCGATAAATAAACAATCAAATTTATTAAAAAAATTGAAGAAGCTTTTTCAGTTAAGTTTAGTTAAAATATATGGAACCAACGAGACTTCCGATACCAGCGTCCCCTCTAAACCAATTACAGACTCGTATATGTTATATAGGTTCTAGAAATGGGAACCAGCGAGTTTCTCGCGAAATAATTAAATTAAAGCTACACGCAAGTAAAATCCCCAATTGCCTCATAATGCGTGGATACAGATGAATTTGAAAAGAGTAAAGGTAAAAGGATAAGAGACAATTTCCAAATTGACTTGAATGCACCAACCAGTTTTCCCATTTTCTCTTCTATGGGTGGAATTAAGAAATTGTACAGGCTTGTAAATAAACTCGTAATACGTATACGTATAATTTGAACTGAATAAAGGCAAACACAAGAGCAGCTACATACAAGTATACTTGGCCGTCCTAATTGTTACATTTGTTTGCTATTTTCGAACTCAGAAAGGGCACTCTTCTGCTTTATCTGTAACAGATAAAAACACAAACAAAAAAAAAACAAGAAAGATAATGAGTAGCGCGGCACATAAATATTGCGATAGCAATGTCTAACGTTCGACACTCGAGCACTCTAATACTAAAAACCGTAAACGGCCTTAGAATTTGTAAATATAACCGCAAAATGTTTCAATGGACCATAGAAAACAAATCACAAGAAAAAAGCTTCACCAAAAAATCAATTATAAAGGTATTGTTTTATCTAAAAACGCGGGTCACCTACAAAATTTAATATGGACGCCGTTTTCCAAGAAAGGAATTGTTCAATTTTCAATTTCTTATGGTACAAATTAAATTGTTTTAATTGTATCCGTTTAATAATCTAAATCATAGGAGAGAACATTTCATTGATGTGAAATAGTAATTAAAATTGGTGGAGATCGGGTTACGAAAACATTCAGTAATTATTATGTGCATTGTACTTACTTGAGGACCTATTAACAGGAATGTAATTTCTTTTCAAATTATTATTATCGAAATTAAATATATTTCCAAATAAATCACAAGAAACGCTTTCTTCGGAAAATTCTTATATACACGTATAACATGACACGCAGTTAGTATTATCATGTGCTTAGTTACAGGTTGACAAATGACTTACCAAAAACTCCAAGTCTGAAGTTGATAGTAACAACGATGACTTTTCCGTAAGCTGCCAATACGCTTCCGTCGTACGGATTACCCGAGTTCCATTCGTACGATTCCCCGTGCAAATAAACCATCACCGGATAAATCGGTTTCGGTACGTCAACGTCTGCAAAAGAATTACACGTTTACCTCAATATAATCCTCTTCCCGACGCAATTAAGACACGAAAATGTACGAGTAATAAATCATCAGACTAAGAAAACAAGCTCTAGATTGTTTCATCGCGCTTTAATCATATTTCCAAATTTAAGTCAAATCCCGGTGACCTAATCGATTCGTATAAAATGAAAAAACTGGGATCTTTGATAACTCTTCTCTTTCATTATTAATTGTGACTGCGTCGAAATTGTATACGTGAAGCAAAATTAATGGCATAACTTTGCTTAGAATTTTAAATCAAATTCCCAAAGGACTTGATCTAATTAAAAAGTGTTTTGTTCCTCTAACAAATTTGATTAAAATTTTGCTTATGGCGCACAGTGCAACCGTTATTAACGGACTGTGGTCGGGGGGGTCTTGTATGAAAGTATTAATTTTAATTAATTTCGTTGCCATCAAATTTAATTTGCAAAAGTTGTACAAATGTGCGTTGATAAAATACGACAAGTATTTATGTCAAATCGATTTTGTCATTTGTACCTTTTCAGTTTCGTTGCTATGTATGTATCAGGTGAAAATTGGTATAATTGTGCAACACCGCTTCTTAAGTCAGTTCTGCGCATGTACGATAGTGCAGGGTTTAATCCCCTCCCAATTACCACTAAACTCGAAAGGTTCCCAGAATTATAAGCTTTTGGAGTCACAATTGTTTAACAGTACAGTATTAATCGATGGACTGTGGGTGGGGTGGCACTTGCTGCTGCAATAAAGGGAGAAGGCGTATATGTTAGTACAATTGACAGCTATAGACAGAAGGCCTAGCGACAATTTTAGAATAAATCAAAGATCCCGTTCCATTAACAACGGAGGGCGAAATTCAGCCAAGGATCTAAGGGTGCTTTCGTAATTTACATTACAGGCGAGTCTTTTAACGTCAGCGTGAGCGATACTTCAAAGGACTCATTTTGTTTCAATAATAATTAAAGGTAATTCTTGACGTATTTGTTAGTAAAAGCAATATCGATTTATATAGTAATTAGCGACGCACTCTTTCGACTTCTATAGCCGAAACTTAAATTACGTTCTCGTTAGGAGCGTACTTTTAGCATTTGTGTAACTTTATACTACTTGCTAAACATACTCAAAGTAACAACATATTTCAGAAAATTCAAAAGGTTCCAGTGGAGTTTCTTAACTGTTCAAAGGACATGTAAAAACATTCCCGTCAAACAAGTGGGGAGGGTCGTTTTTTACCCCAATGAAAAGTATGCCATACATTCCTGGAAATGTATTGGGCGAGTAGTAAAAAGACCCCTTCCCAAAACTTATAGGGCGAGTAGTAAAAAGCACTACTCATTTCGCTTAAACATATACAGAATCTGGGAATCCAAAGTGAGGGGGCGGTGGTAGTATTGTACGCCTCCCAGATCCCCTAGTGATGCGGCCTTAATCAAAAATTCCAGCCCGAACGACTCTTGTGGTATAGCAATGCTGTTTGGTTAAAAATATACAACCGAGGGACTTGGGAGTATTGTAATACACCCCACCCCCCACAAATTATACGAATATTTCATTGGTATGGACTTACAAATAATTTCATAATGATGATTGTAGAGAAAGGGTGACCAAATTTCTCTTTATTTTTTTTTGTGTGGCTGAAGGGAGGGATTCCATAAAATCCAATTTTCCTTTTTTTATAAGTGCTTTATACGTACAAAGGTCCCTTTCCGGATGGTCTGGAGGGTATACGAACATTTCGTTTGTATGGGCATACAAATAATTTCATGGTGATGGTTTTAGAAAAAGAGAGTCACCAAATTTCTCTTTACTGGGAAGGATTCTGTGACTGGCGCGTATTGAATACCCCGTAGACCCCCAGGAGCATACATTAAAACTTCCATCCCGAAGGACTCTCATTACACTTTAAAAAAAGCAATTGAATTTTCATCTTTTGAGGAGTACTTCATACGTTCAAAGGTCCCTTCCCGAAATGTATAGGGCCAGTAGTAAGGGGCACTACTCATTGCACCTGAAAATATAGAACCGGGGGTCTGGGGGATATGGAATACCCCCCAGATGAGCATACAAACGATTTCATGATGATGATTGTTGAAAAAGCGTCACCAAGTTTTTTACAGAGGAGTATTGTGTGGCGGTCATACCCCCCCAGGTCCTCGGAGCTGCCGAACTTTCACCCCTAAGGACATCACTCTTTAAAGAAAAACAATCCATTTTTCAGAAATGTTTCATACGTTCAAAGGTCACTTGCAGAAATGTATAGCACGAGTCATTTTGCTTGAAAATGTAGAATCGGGGAGATTGTGGGGGGGGGGGTTGGAGGTATGGAATCCCTCCTAGTATATGAAGATTTCGTTGGTATGGGTGTAAAATAATTTCACGATGATGATTGTAAAGAGGATCGCCAAATTTATCTTTTCCAAGGAGAATTGTACGAGTGGGGAGTTTGTCATACCCCCCAGATCCCACGAAGCTGCCTCCCACCGTAGAAGTTTCACCCCTAAGGACTCTTTTTACACAAGACAAACGAATTTTCCATTTTTGAGGAGTATTTCATACGTTCCTTCTTGAAAGCGAATAGTAGTGGGCACTATTCGTTTTGCTTGAAAGTGTAGAACCGGGGTGCCGTGAGGGTACGGACTACCCCTCAGAATACGAAGATTTCATTGGTGTAAGTAAAGTACGAATTGATTTGGATTCTACGCAACCCAAATTAATAAGCAAAAGTGTTTTCCCGAGAAATTTTGGTGTAGTCGATTTTTGGTAAAAAAGGAAGGTTATACACTGCCTTTTTTTGAGCCCCGAAAAAAAAATTGTCTCAGATTGACCCGGAAAAAAAATTTCTTATAGAATGTAGAATCCATAATTTCAAACAGTTCCAAGATTGGGCTACTAGTTCAAAAGTTACAGCCCTTTGAATTTTTTGTCGAAATTAGTTTCTAGTCTATAACTTTTGATTAAGAAGTCTGATCGAAAAAGTACGAATTGATTTGGATTCTACGCACCCAAATTAATAAGAAAAAGTGTTTTCCCGAGAAATTATGGTGTAGTCGATTGTTGGTAAAAAAGGAAGGTTGTACACTGCCTTTTTTTGAGCGCCGAAAAAAAATTGTCTCAGATCGACCCGGAAAAAAAAATTTCTTATAGAATGTGGCCTGTAGAATCCATTATTTCTAACAGTTCCAAGATTGGGCTACTAGTTCAAAAGTTACAGCCCTAGCGTGACAGTTCTCATTATCGACTACTAGTTAATAATGTCCACATTATTAACCACTTTGAGCAACTGCCGAGAAAGCCTACTTTACAAGTGGAAAAAAGGTTAATAATCGTGTCATCAGACGCTAGTAGTGAAAAAAATATATATTTCATATGGCAACTCATATTCCTTTTTAAAAATGGTGTAATTTTAAATGTGTTTATGACCAGGTTTGGTGGTTGACAGACGGTATACGTATAGGGTATAACGGAATCGCCTCGAGGCCTACCTCCCACCCATCCACACAATACGATCGGCCTTGGGACGCTATAAAGGAAAGGCAAGTCGAATGAGATTTTGTATTGAAATTTCCGACCTCCAGGCGTCAGATGCGCAGGAAACCTCAACAGAATTCTCCATACACACATAGAGGTTTTCCTCGAGGTCTTGCGCCTCGAGGCATGCCTTCGGCTTTTCCGTTGCGTGTGGAGCCGCCTTTAGACCAGTTTCGAACATTCTGCCGGCTACTCCGAATTAGGTTTTCCTAATTCGTAAGGTAAATACCGGAGTAGTATAGACCAACTTAAGACCTTATGCAGAGGCACCTCTAAAAAGTTCCACTTTTCGATTTACACCCTGTACATTGTGCAAAACAGAATAAACTTTTTAAAATCATTGCAGACCTAGACCTTTTTCTTCAAAGAGGGTTGTAAGCTTTGCCTGTCCATTTAATGCATTCCTACAAAAAGGTTTACCTTGAGAGGCCGTTTGATAACCTCAAAGCTAATCAATTAACTGCCTAAAACCATGAATCCCTTCTTGAGTAGCAGGACCCTTAATTTAAATACGTCAAGGTGACAAAATGGATGGAAAGACATAAAGGGAAAGGAAAAAACAAAAATTGAAAAAGAGGACATAGCTAAAACTTTGAAAAAGCACCCCTAGACAATGTTAAAGCAAATTTAATGTTTAATGCCTTAACTAGACTCTACACTCTTTATTTAAGGTGTGTTTAATGTAAAAATTGCATTGATTGCTGGAAGTGATGCCCAAAATTTGCGATGGAATAGATCGTAACGTCAGATAAAAGTATATTTTACAAAGTTGCTCCCTCTTATCTCGAACGCACTGTATAATTACTAGTTCTTTGTGTCTGAAATTTTTTTTGCAATTGTGTGTGACAAAGGGCCAATTATGTATCAGAAAAACGCCAGCAGCACCTGAAATTTGTACCACAAAGGAGAAACTATCAAAGTTAAAAACAAAATCCGTGTTTCTATTTGTATAATGAAAAGCTCTGACGACTTTTTGGTTCGCATTTGTAACAATTTATGTCCGAAGCATACACGCATGTAAGAATGGAAAGCCACGCGTGCGATTTTCTACCCTTTGCTGCAATTATCATTCCCCCACTTCAACAGACCAACAAACTATGCTCACAATCATCCCCATAAGCACTACGTAATTTACGTATTTACTGTAAAGGGGTATAAATCGAATTTATCAGTAGCAGCTCCATATAGTAACGGAATTGTGAAGCTTTACATTATCAGTAAGAGCTCTGCTCGCCAGGAAAGGAAAATCTAGAGTTTTCCACCGCTAGAGCTCGCCCTTATCGCATAACGCCGACGAAAATGGCACATCCAGAACAATCGATACGCCGAATTCAAAGATTAGAAAAAGGCGTAAACTGCGAGCGTCCATCATTAAAGCTCCCCACAATTAAATTCGCCGCATTTTATGAAGCATTTCCTTCAGCTGGATGTGCGTTCCACCCGGCTTTCCTTTTTCGG